CAGGCACCGTGGATCAGAGGGGCTTTAGCCCCCCCCCCCCACTTTTTGCAAAAAATGCCAAATATCAAGTATCAAACTACCAGAAAAGCCTCTTTTTATACGGTTTTAGCCCCCCCCCCACTTTTTTTAGACCCCCCACTTTTCTCAACGCTCCGCGGTGCCTGAGTTTAGGTGCAGAGAAAATTTGACTTCAATAAAAAAATCTCTGCAAATTAATGCAGCTCACCTCTGTATAAACATTTCTAAATTTGCATGAAGTTTGTATGCCTCAGCAGTCATCTCGTCCTTGAGGAGCATCAAGTTGGAATTGCAGCTCATCAGCGTAATCCTAAACAAAGCAAATCGCATCGATTGCCCAGGATGCTTTTCAGAAATTTACTAAAATTAAGTCGGATATGAAGTAGAGGAACTTGTGGGTGGCTCAGTCAAAGTTTTTAACAATCCTCCGGCAGTATCAAGCTCTGAAAAGCCTCTCCGGAAACCGACAAAAAGGGTGTGGCTTTGGTGTGACATTTAAACTTGGTTTAAGTTAACCCTTTCACAGCCTTTCACCCCATGATCGCCATGTCTTCTGGGCCAGTGGCGGATTTAAGGGGGGCAGCTAGGGGCAGTTGCCCCTCCCTCAACGAGTTGAACCAAGTCTGGCGCCCCTTCTTTTGAAATTGTGCGCCCCTTTTGAAGAATGGGAATCAGGTGAAAAGGTTTTTGAGACCGATAGGTTAATTTGCTTCAAGGATTACCTCAAAGTTATCTTGTTTATTCCGAAAATGGATCTGAAATTGTTGTATACAGCGTACTCTCGTCATCAATTTTTGAAAATTTTCAGCGCCCCCACTACCAACTGCCCCACCTTCAAATTTGCTCTGGATTCGCACCCTGTTCTGGGCTGTGCATCAACTCGCTTTACGAGGAAGGAGAAACTGCTATTGATGAATGCATGATTGGAAATGGTGACTGATCAGAGAAACTCAATAAACACTTCGATATCTTGCAAAATTATCAGAAATAAGCTAAGGGCACGCTAGTATAACAGACGTTTACCATTAAATTCTATATTAATATATAATTGCAGTTGAAGGAGGTTATCGCTACAAAACCAACACCATTCGACAGCCATGTTATGTGGTGTTGCTGGAGGCATTGTTTTGCCAAAAAGCTGCAGCTAAAGGCAAACAAGATCAGAAAACAAAAGGGGCCTACGAAGAGGCAACTTACATGACTGCTCGTTGGGCCTGTAGCAGCCGTCGATAGCTCTTTGCAAGTTCACTAATAAAATACAACGCGTGTCCCCAAAGTCTTTTGAACTCTGTAGGCGACTTCGGCGTATCAGGCTGTTCAACTAAACAACAGACAAAATGCAATTTTCAATTTGAACATTGTGTTTTTCTTTAAGCGGGGGGCACGCAGTTAATATTTATTTCAGCTTATTTCAATAGTCTACCAGGTAAAAACATTACTGCATGTTGAAAGGGCGGAAAAACTACGAGTCGTGAGGCCAAATTTAATTACAATATTTTTGTTGTTTTTACTTTGAAATAAACAAGATACACTTTGGTAGTTAACATAATCATGGCTCTAGCTGGCACTGCCTGAAAATATAGAACGGGGGTTAGAGCCACCACAGATCCCTCAGTTCCTAATTGCATTCTGCTGATCAACAACTTGATGCCTATTGCATACATGACTGCTAATCGATCAGCAATACACACCCCCGTAAATTTATGAAAGAAAAACGGGAAATTTTTGAGGGATGGAAACCGAAAGTAGAAATACATCAGACATTAACTCGATATAATATGCTTTCAAATTTGTCCAGACAACTGCCCCGAAGAAATGAAGAAACTGGATTAACATAATTCCTCTATTTTCTTATTTTTATGCAAGACAAAGTAAGAAAAGAATTGAAATAGCAATAACAAAGGGGCGATGTCAGTATAAAAAAAGAAAGCTTGCTCCGTTGTTGGCAAACATCATCTTTACAATATTGGTGATTGCGTATCACGTAAATGTAATCATCTGAGGCCAGTCAGGTCATTAAATGTTTCAAAACAAATATTACTCAACGAGGTAAAAACTTTTCGAAATATCTTCAAACGACTACAACTTTATTTGCCTACAACATTTATGTTCTTAAAACAAAGTTACCGAATCTCCGATCAAAACAGTTATTAATTTATTATCCGATCCAAAAAAAATAGTTACTCCAAGCGAAACTGGTTTGTTTAAGCCTGTATTTTTAACTTGATTTATTTCACTCGCTAATTTTACCGCTATAGCCTTTATTATATTACATTATATTATATTTGTTTTTTAATATACAGTTGAGAAGTAAATAACTCCCCTAAAACTCAAACTAGCAGATATTTCACCAGTGTTTAAAGTTGGTGACACCACAGTGAAAATAATTGCTCTCACTATTCTGTTATTGAGGTCCAAAAGGCCCTGTAAGCTACCCAAAACACTTTTGACCAAGGGTGTGGTAACTGATGGTTAGAGATGTTACCCCGTCCTTTACTCTAATTTCTTGGCAATGGGCCTGTAAATGGTCGACGCTAGTCGAGTAGAAACAGAGATGTAGAAACAAGCATTGGATGAAGCAAAATGACGTTATGATTTTCGGAGATACTTTTTTGAATTTTATATCAATATTGCTTCAAAAGCTTTTAAGACAAAGTGTTTCACTAGATTAATGTCTTTGGGAATCATTGTGTTACGCCAAAAATACAAAAGCTTACTAACCGAGAAGTCTGACTTCTTTAGGTAGTTGCTGATAACCATGACGATTGCCAAGCAGCGATTTAGAGCGACTGTTTTTGGCTTGCAAGACTTGGGGTATGTTGACAGCGTAGACCAACCATTCACTGTCGCCCTGAAACAATTCACAGGGGGACTTACAAAATCAAAGTAGACATTAAGAAGACGTTATTGAAAGACCTCGTTTATTTTAGCAGTAATTTATTTTTAAACATTTAATTAATTATTGCCAAAAGTATGAATTTTTGTAGTAATTCAATAACGTCAAAGGCAGCCTCAGATGGCAAAAACCAACAAATCGAGAGGGGGCCAATTCGAGGATTTATGGTAGCAGTGGGGGCTTATTCAGGGGGGCTTATTGACAATTTGTAGTTGTAGGGTGGGGGCATATTCGAGGAGAGGGGCTTTTTCGAGGGGGTGGGCAATTCGCAGATTTAAAGAATTTACATTAAAAAATTGGAAACAGTGGTGAAATATCAATAGAAAAGGTTGATACTTGGAAATAGATTGATAGTAAAGCAAGGAGTATAGGCAATACTTACGGGCTGATTGTAACACTCTAATAATAATCCATCAGAATGCAAGATCTTTCCGTCAGCAAGAAGTAATGTAGTTTCCTCAGGATCCATACAAAATTCAATATTTAGCTTGTCTTCCAAATCACCAACCCTAGATCGAGTGTCACCAATGAAAGAGCTGATTTCTTTAAAATATAAGGAGGCCTTTTACCGTTTCAAATATGGCATTTTCCCAGCTGGTTTATTTCAAAGATGGCCTAATCTGACAAAGATGGCCCTTTTAAAAGATGCAATACAAACGTTTTCCCGTATTGCACCTTCTAGTTTCTATTGTACAAAAGAGAAATAAAAGCAAAGCCAGGATTTTTGTCTGGAATATTGGCAGCGCCAAGGGTGGTATGGGGGAAATTACCAGCCCCGCTTCTATCGAAACAAGTCCACATTATTCTTCTAAAAAGTGATAAAACTACATAAGGTAGATGTAGGTCATTTTTTAACTTAATTTAAGCACCTTGGCGAAAAGGGTGTGGTCCCATGGGTCACTCTGCAGTCGCCGGCGCCGCCACTGTCGTCATTGCAAATAGCTTTAAGAATAAAAAATTCTGGCATCTTTATGAAAATTTTATTATTACAAAAATACTGGTAAGTGGACTTACGTGTCGCTTTCTTCCATTTTGAATGAAAAAAGCTGGCATCTATTTACAGAAAAAACATGAAGAATCTAAAGAAAAAGAACGTGAAAAGAACATATTAATAAGCATCTTACTTTGCATCTTACATGTATGTATAATCGCCGATTTCTTCGCTAATATGTCAAATTCAAAGCACATAGGAGGAAATCTATTTATTTTAAAGTTACAGAAAAGGCAAACGGTATTCTAAACTATGACAAAACATTCACAAAAAAATGCAAAACTACAAAAATACTTATTAATTTTAGTTAATTCATTCACAACCTCAAAGGTGAAGGAGAAGCGAGACAGATGAGTTCATAAAAGTTGATTTGCTTATATGTTTATCAGTGCTGCAAAAACACGGACAACCTTGGGATGTGATTTGAAAGTTTGGCTGGATTCGCTATCAAGAACGTTAATCTGACTCAAATACACATGTTTCTCCTTTGGCAGTTAGCTTTGCTTGTTAGTTTGAAGCTGGGTAATCAATGTAACGACTCAAGAAACACGATGGCTTAAAGAAAAACTGTAAGTTCCACCTGATGCTTCTGATTTTGGCATATTAACAATCGAAAGGTAACAAAATCTTCCGAGGATATTGCAAAGTTAAACAAACGAGAGTTGGAGAAGTTAGAAATCAGTTAAAGGTCATGTGACTTAAACCTGATTGGCTAATGCAATACATCTACTTTTTGTGTTTAGTACAGAGCAACTGGTAAGGGAAGAATTTTACGGCAGTAATAGTTCATGAAGCAGAAATGAAAAGTCACGAACAATAGAAAATGCACTGCTAACGGATAAATTGCATTAGCCAACTGCTACCGCCAAATATGCCCTTCAAAGGGTTCGACGAAAACAAATTCTGAAAAGTCCACATGAAGGTGCTTGCACTGCAGCTATAGCAAAGAGAAGGGCGAAGCGTTGGGTGGAGAGGTCTCCCTTAAAGAACGTGGTCTAAAAACAATCCATGGCCTATAAAAAATACTTGTTGAAAAGTCAAAGCAGCGCATCCACCTTTGTGTTTTGGATTTTCTTTGCCACGTGGTAGCACATTCGAATACCATTATCATCCTTTTGGCCACCCCGGGTCTTTGGGTCCCATTCCATAACTAGCCGTAGCCATTCTTCAAATAATGGAATCAGAGGGCTGAAAAGAAAAATAAAATAAATTGAAATGACGAGGCAGAAAAGAAAGGGAGACATGTTAGGAATAAAAGTGGAAGAATTATTTTCTTAATTCGCTGGGAAAAAATATCTGCTTGCCACAATGCCAAATATAAATCTTAGAAATCGCTCCCTGTTGTAATTTCCAATAAATTACTTCCTCGTATAATATAGGCAATATGGCTTTCCTTCGACATTTTATAAGCCAGAAACTTCATTGATTAATGTGATATATGTTAATCAACAACATTAGCCATTGCTGGAGCTACCAAAATCGCTTGGTCTATGGCCTTGTTCTGAGCCACAAGCTTTGTTTGCTGTGTCATCCTGCACATGGCTTATAACTTGGCATGCTTAAGGCGGCATCTCAAAGAGCAAAGCCGCAAAAAGTTCCTCAAATCATATGACAAATCTTTTGTTTTGTAGCTAGAAAATCATGGGCTCAAAAAAATGAACTAACTAACCAACAGTAACTTACTTAGCAGGTTGTGATTTGTAAGAATTAATTTTTATGCCAGTAGCCAAGAAGGGGCATCGAATTGGGACAATTTCTCCCCCTTTTTGACTGCAGATTCAGCCGGGTAATTTATGCAATGATAAAACTGTGTTAACACCGTCTAAAAGAACAGGTTTTGCTGCAAAAATGATTTTGCCTGAGAAAACTTGGATAAAGGGCTGTATTTTAAAATGCAAAGATTGTCGTTATGGAGTCCCAGGTTTTAATAGTGGTTACCTTGATAATTTATAGGGCCGTGGAATCTTTGAATGAAATTGCACTTCACCTTTAAGGAAGAAAGAGAAATATAGTAGATCGACCATGTTGAATTTATCTGTGAAATAAAAAAATAAAAAAAGAACAAAAAGAAAGATTTGACTGTAAGGGAGGTCGTTAAATGAAAATGGAAAGAAACAAACCAAATCATTATAAGTATACCTGATTCTTCTGTGCCACAAATGTCGTTTGAACTTTTCATTGCAACTTTTTCACGCCTAAATTGTTGAGAAATTTAAACAAACATTATCTTAATTCCACCTTTAAAAAACCATTCTTATTTACATTGTCAGGAGTTGTGATCTATATGCTCTTCATCTTCTCTTTAACCATCGCATGGTTGGAAGAAACAACTTACTTGTAATTCTTTGACGTGCTTTTTAATTCTGATAATCCTGAACTAATAAACTTTAAAAGCCTTTCATTTGGAGAAGACTGAAATTTCAATCAATCTCGCTACAAGGCTGTTTACCAAAAGATACGAAAAAGGGTGCGTCACGTGTCAACGTCGGGGTAACAATATGGGACAATAAAAACATTCTCCTTCTATAAAGGACTCTATAAGCATGACCCACTAGGCATCTACAAACTGAGGTATCATTATATTAATATGTTCTTCATTGCGGACATCAGTAATTCATAAACATATGATCTTATGAATAAAATGATCTTAAAAATAAGTATGTCTTTCTAAATATCGTGCATTCAGTGATTGCGGCATATAAAGTACAAAAACACACGAAAATGATGCCATTTATTGAAGCCATATAGGGGCCAATTCACTCACCATGTGACAAAACTCATTTCAAAATCAAAAGGTCTGTATCCTGTTATACACTCAAACAAAACATTCCCCAAACTCCAAAAGTCTGCCTGTTAAAAAATCACAATGAATAAATGCAAAATCCAACCCGCCAATTCACGAAACATTTACAAAAAAGAAACACACACGTGTCATTAAAAAAGAAGTCTTTCTTTTACTACATGTTTTTGCCTCTACCAAAGTAGGTACGCTGATTTTTGGCTGTTTTGAAGGGGGGTTGATAGGGGCATAAAATTTCAAGAATGGTGAGCTTTTAGCCATCAAAGAACATCAAAGAGCGGCAGCTCCTACCCCCCTCCTCCCCCCCCTCTTTTTACCCCTCTAAATAATACTGATTGGCGAATTTTTATTTGTATTTCAATGCATCACCAAATTGGGAAATCCAAACCATGTTTATTGAGTGTTAAACCAAAAATAATCAACATTATTCTGGGAGTAGTTGGGCTGCGTTTGACGTTTTAGGAAACTTTTCGATTTTTTTAAAATAGATTGTAAGCCCTGTTTTAGTAATGAGCCTCTCGTGATTCATTATGGAACATGGAAACTAAGAGGACACTGGCCTAAATAATTATGGTTGTAATCGATTCAGAAATGTTGGACCATGAGGACTAAAACTTCTTGAAAGCTTGAGCAAACAAATTGAAAGTTGGTCTTGACTCTTTGCTCTTTGCAGTCTTTTATCCCACACATTGAACGTAGAGACCTTAAGAAATTACAACGTTGAAGCATTTTACATGAATATTTAGAAACAAGGACTAACGACTTGAAATAACTGCATAATATAATTGAAAATGAGGGTAATAGATAGTTTAAAGAAATAAGATTGGGTAAAGCAGAGATAGAAATAATGGTACTTACAGTAAATGTGTATCCTTCTGGCGGTTTTGACGTAAAAACTTCAGGTGCCTAGAAAAGAACAGAACTTTGAACCGGAAAAAGCTCAATACTTCTACAGTTACTAAACGGAAACACGGACCTGCTAAATCTCTTTGTGACGCAGCTTGCCTTTCTAACTGATCTTAAATGTTAATTAACAAAGGCAGAAGCTATTTTCTTCTGGGAATATAGTTACCATATTAACAGCATTCTGTGCCGCAAGTTAAAAGCATTGATACATGTCAATTTCACGAGCCAGATCTCCAATTAAATTGGCTACAGAAACTCAACTGCACCGCACCATCGACGAAAAACGAATAAATAAGAGCAAAAACTGACAAGCGCGAATTACTGCGATAGTTAGCAAAATAACGCTGCCCTTTTTTACCAAACTCCTCACTGGGTCAATATGTATTTTCCATGAACATTCGGATGATTTATCACACTCGACCTGTTTCTTTAGCAGATAATTTCTCTCCTCCCCTTTTTTGGTGATTTTACTTTGTTTTATCTTTATCATCGTCAGTTGTGGAAAGATTAGTAAGGGGTCCTTAAAACGTTAGAAAGTGTTTTAGACACCAAAATAATGAGAAGAGCATTAAAATGCAGAACCTCAACTTTGTAAAGGAGAAAGGGTCCATACAGGCAAAAAGACGGGGGCAGTAAGTTAAGATTGTAAGTCACTACGAATGTTCTATAGCTACAAGGACGGGGGATGCTGATGTTGGTTGGTTCTCTTCAAAACCAGAATCAGGGGGAACCGGGCCGGGTTTATAAAATCGGTAACTTAAACTTACCACGTATTTCATTGTTCCTACAAACGAATCTGCGACGCTGTTTTGATTCAAATCTTTTGCATAACCAAGATCTGTAATCTTGTAAACAATCTACAAATAGGCAAATATGTTGATAAACAGAAAATGGAAGAGACAAAGAGAAACATCAAAATGATAATTCAAATAAAACTATTAACAGACAGTTTTTTTACACTCAACAACGCGAATAGCGGCAAAAAACGAGCTGTGATAAGATTCAATTTCAGACTTGCTTCGAATGGGGATAAAAATGTTTAAACAATTGAGACAGATAAATAATAGACATTCTTCAAAAATGAAGGAAGAAGTTACAAATTTCACCGAGATGAAAGAAGTTAAAAATTTCAAATTTTGAGAAAATTATATTAAAAACCATATTGAAAATCACAATCTGCTATTACAATCTCTGATTGGATGCCCCTTCTAGTAACATTATGTGTAAACTTTTTACGGGTCATTCCATACCGAGTTCGTTTTCTCTCTTGGACTCCATTGGTAATTGTTCTTTAGGCTCACGGCACTGATTGGTCAACTACACCGGTCTTGTGCTTGCGTTTTTCTGATTGGCCTATTTCGATCCACAACTGGGTATATATTTTTCCATCGTGTTTTTTCGGAACCTATTCTGACGTTTTATGCTCTGAGGAGTGTCAGACGAAAAAGCTTTTAGTATGTCGTAAAACGTTTGCTTTTTTCAAAGCCATTTTCAAATTCTGTACCGCAAAAAAATTGATCTCAGATTTTGTTGAAACTTATATCGTATAAACCTTTCCTGGAAAAAATACAACGCTGAAAATTTCAGCTTCATTGCTCAAACGGTTCAAAAGTTATAGAGCTAGAACTTTCGTAAAAATCAGCCAAAATTTCACATATTGGGCTTCAAGCACAATTTTGCCAACTTTGACATTCAATAACTCAATAGTGCTAAATGACATCAATTTGAAACTTGGTGTCCAAGTAATTTTCCACCCAAATAAAATATTACTTTCTACTAAAATTTACTATTTTTTAAGATGTAGCTTGCTCAAAATGATAAAAACACTGTTTTAGGGGGGTCCTCGAACTTTTCAAGACGCTATCGACAGGGCAGGAATGACATCATCTCTTCAACTTTTCTTGAAATCATTTAGCAGATGTGTTGGCATTTAGAAAATACCAAAAATAAAGCTTCCTTTGTATTATAGGACCTGTATTAGGCCACATTTTAGACTGTACAAGATTTCAGGAATTTCCTTGGCATTTGAGACTCTGAAAGTGGCGTAGACAGTTGAAACTGAATTTAAAATTCATGCCAAAATGAATATGGCAAAAACATAACAGTTCTGTCTGAACAGCAATCCTACCCACAACTAGTTTTCTTTAATTATAGAGCAAAGAGTATGTTCCTCAAGATATGTTGTCTCTTTTAAAGTCAAAAAAAGCCGATGCCAAGGGCACTTTTATGAAAAGGGCACTTTGGTCCCCATTGCCCCTCCTCTGAAGGGGTAAGAGGGCGCAGCCCTCCTCTCCGGTCTCCCTAATACCTGCTGATCGCACTTACCGTAAATTCCACACACCAGTCACGGACAGCTTGGCCTCAAAGGCATCAATTACCTTATGACAGCTCGATGAACTATAATTTCCATTCTATTCATTAAAGCCTAGCACTGAGGAAACATAACATTTTACTTAAAACAGTGGCTAACCAACCTTTATCCCAATGAAACTTATTAGAATATTCTCAGGTTTCAGGTCTCTGTGGATTATTTTGTGTGAATGCAGGAATTGGACCGCGTTGGCTGAAAGAGGAAAAAAATTAGAACGAGAACCTAATGCGTGTTGACAATCAAATATAGTTTAAATTGTCAAGTCTGAAGTTGGGAGAACCTCAGAGTTAGTGAGAAGGGCTTGGTGACCCATCAAAATTTGAAATGTTCTTGTAATGTCGGTCCGTTTGTCTATCTGACATTTCGTTTCAGCTTTCATTCATTTTACTCCTGTCTTGCAATTTTCAACTTGCCTTTTTGTCATTTTTCAACGACTATACTCTAAGGAGTGTCAGAAGAAAAGTGCCTTTATAAGCTATTTTCTGCTTTTTCATACTATTTTCAAAGTACCAACATTTCTATAAGGGTGGAAATTAAAACAGTCCAGGCAAAAATAGGTTCTTAAACACAGCATTTTTAGGCATTTGCTCCAGCAGCTTTAGAAACTATTATTGATATGTGCATTATATATACTGACAATGGCAAATAGAAATTGATAAACCACTTCGTATTTACAGGCTTTCGTATTTACTCGTTTACTTCACAGGTTCCATAGAGTCTTGCAAATGCCAAAAATAACACCAGCTTGGTCAATCGTAAAGAAGAGGGGCATGTGATTGATAAGGCAATGTGATCAGAGTTTTGATCTTCGTTTGAAGATATTTTTACAACCTACAGCCTTTTAGCAACGTCGAATTACCTTGTGTACAGAACCCTCAAAAATTCTAACAAAATTTTCTTTGCTTTCACACTTTCAACTTACAACGCTGATGTCAACAGTTAAATTAAAAAAAACTTATTTCCAGAACATAAATCTAGTCATAAAAACATTGAATACTTACAAACATCTCTTAGGATATTTAAAACAGCAAACTCACTAAGCCCAGTGAAGTTGGCAGGACGACTAAGGACCTAGAAGTAGAAAATCAACCTTGTCACATCCCCTCAATTGTAACAGAACTCTCCTACCAAAGGGAATGTATCAAATTCCCTAAAGGGATACATCAAACCATTTTTCTTTTTTAAAATGGCTTTGAAACAAGCAAACATTTTACAATATATTGGCTAAAAGCATTTCATCTGACACTCCTCAGAGCATAAAATGTCAGAATAAGGGTCCGAAAGAACAATGAAAAATATATACCCAGTTGTGGATCGAAATGGACCAATCAGAAAAACACAAGCACAAGACCGGTATAATTGACCAATCAGTGCTGCATGACTAAAGAAAAATAACTACTGGAGTCCAAGAGAGAAAACGAACTCCTTCTGTCTACACAATGGCGGCTTTTTCCTTTGTATACAGATTGATTCCAAAACTGCTAGATGGAAAGACAACCGAGCTCTGTCAATTATCTGAAACATGTTGTCATTATAGAGTCTAGAACTACAAGATCGAGTAGGATGTTCTGTTGTAAAATAGGTTGTAAAATGTTGTAAGGCAATATGTTGTAAAATGCTCGCTTTCTTCAAAGCCATTTTCAAGTTCTGTACCGCCAAAAAACTGTTCACATTTTTCTTTATAAGAAATAAATAATTCAATCAGATGCTTTGAAAAAAGTAAATTTAAGCTTCTGTTCTTCCTCAAAATGCAAAAAGAAGGATTCTACAACAAGAATGACAGTGGATATAGTTGTTCTTCCAGCTCCTTCCCATTGTTCTTTACCCATGGCAAACTTTCAACAAATTTCAAGAAGTAATGAGTAAATTACAAGAATCATCATCAGTTGTAGTGAGTTAAGCATATTTTTCAGCAGTTGGCTAAAAAGTAAACAATTTAACCTTTCTAAGATCCCCTCCTTCACAGTGTTCCATTCCCAAGCATGGTTCTGTAGTCTTCAGTAGTCTGGACAAAGATGGAGGAATTTCTCTGAAACCAACTAAATTTGGATGTTTTTTTTCTGAAAGCATATCAATTTCTTTCCTCCATCTTTGGCTATTCTTTGGATCTAGCTGGACACTGCACTCTTTAATTGCTAGCACTTCATGAGTTACCTACATAAGAATTGAAAGGATATCATTGTGCTTGCTGAGGAAGAGATTTTAAAGTTGAAAGTGGAAACCCCCAGATTAAAACTGGTTTGATAATGATGATGTTAAGCATGAAAATTTTGATTAAAAAACTTTGAAATAATTTTATTTTCTTTGAATTGTTCTCATTGATGAAATGACAATAACCTTTTATATAATGTAGCTTGAATGCCTTCAGTTAACTTTAAAATCCATAAATTTCACTTGACAGCATAACATGTCATTCATTGCCTAACTCATTACTAACTTCTAACAGTACTGAAAAACTGCTATAATCAATTCAACAGAGTGACACATATCCAATATCAAAATAACCAAAATAATAATTTGCTGCTTCTGCCTTTCCATGAGATTTAACCATGGCATGTTTTTCCAAGAGATAATGGCATTCCCATACCTAGCTGCAATCATGAAAAATAAATCTTAGGTATGTTGCCATGTGTGGCAATACTGTAAAAAGGAGTACTAACTTTATGTTCCCATAATGTTACATGACCAAATGTCCCTCTTCCAAGAGTAGTCTTTTTCATCCACTCTTCAGAAGCATCACTAGTATTGCTCATCTTGTAGAGTGATCTGTTAACAAATGTTAAACATTCAGAGAAAAAGCTATGATTTCTTAAAAATGCTTTAAGAAATCAAGAAGACCTAAATGCTTTGTAATCATGACTTATTCAAGAGCAGTAATGGGTGACCTACAGCCTGCAGACCAGAAATCGGCCTAGGACATGTATTGGATAAATTGGTGTTTACGTATATTAAAGTAAATAAATGCTTAATGTTGATTGATGGACAATTCTGCATTTTCTTCCTCATATGGTTTCTATAAACTCTGAATCACAGCCTTTGATTTTGGTTTGGTTTTTTTAAATGTTGGTTGGTTTTGTCCAGTTTCCCTTTTGCACTTATCATTGCAACAGTCTCATATATCATTGCAAACTATCTTTGTAAAAGAAAGATGTGTAATTGTAGTTAGTAAAGATGTGTCATTATGATTATAATCATTTCATTATGTACAAATATCATATTAGCCTTTCTTATTACCTTTAGCCTGCTTAAAGAAATGATTGAAGGATCTGACCCAGTCTCGATTGCCCACTCCTGATCTAGAACATTATCTAACAGTAGAATAGATAGGCTGTTAGAATAGATAGATAGGATAGGTAGACTGTAATTTAGAAGAGATTTAAACGCAGATTTCAGGGCTTAAGCAAAATATCAAGAGTAAAAGTAAGACAGCACTTGGAAGCATCTTTTATAACTATCTTCTTTGAGTTTTTGTCCTGGAAAAGTGTACTTATTCCCTACAATACTTCTGAGAAAAAAATATAACATTTGCAAAACTTCATGCATCAAATGAGGCACTATTGTTGTCAAAAGGAAACATGGAAAAAGCACAGACTGGGCTTTCAATTCCATATCCCTAATGACGAAATCTCTGAAGGATAATTATTCATCACAAATACATGAAATGTGAGTAGCTTTATCGATTCAAGATTATTTCTATCATAACTATAGATATTCAGTTGGTTTCAAAATCCTATATATGATGTTTGAAGCCCTTTCCCTAAAAGGAGCAATAGAAAACCAGCCTTTATTTGTTAGAAAAGGAACAGTTCTGGTGTTGTGGGAGCAAAGATACCCCTATTTTCCTCTCAAAACAATGTCATATAATTATTTATTTTATTCAAGGTTTTTTATTTAAAAAAAAGTTTCAATCAATTGCTGAAATAGCTGTGAAACAGCACAATGTAATATTTGTTACAATGTGATATGACACAAATGACATGCTTACAAATATTTGCAGTCCACAGATGTAGCCGGCCTTAGGCCACCACAGCAATCCGACACTGGAAAAAGATCTTGCACGTGCAGTGCTGCAATCTCTAGAATTCAACATAAAATCACAATTGCTATGGATCTGTTTATTGATTTACTCCCTGCTTTCCAAATGCCATCGAGCCCTGCATCGAGCTCAAAATGACTGATATTAAAACACTTTTCCCGACGAGATTTGTGGCCTCGTGTATGGGCAGCAGAGGGCCTACAGTGTAATTCGACTTACACTACAACTTTAGTCTGTCAGCATCAATAGCCCATTCACGTGGTAGGTCTGAATCAAAGCCAAAACTAAATTACAAAGACTGGTGTGACATCATCACCGAAAATTCCAAAATTCGCAAAAATGATACAACAAACAATCCGCCATTTCAAATTACCATAATTCCAGTTAGGAAACTAGTGCCCAGATTACACTTCCCGTATTCTAATCAAAAATAGAAAATGACGTAATTTCTTCACAATATTTGCAGAAAAATTGAAGTTTACTTCCCGTCTGAAATTTCTTAGGAATATGGACAGAACGATATCAAAATTCAAAATCTGAAATTGTCTATTGAGAGGCATTTTTGTGAAGATTTAATGAAAAGCACAAAATGAAAATTTTCAAGGGAATGACACAAAACAGGCAACCAACGGAAAAGAAATCTCTGCATAAAGCTATAAACTAATTGAAGAATCTTACCTCAAATTTCACAGTGAGATCTCAAGAGTTATTGTAGCACTTCCATAATGGTCACCAGTTTGATGAAAATTCTCCCTTAATTTTTTCTCTCTTCAGCTTAATTTTTTAGGTCCAATTGCACAAAGTGAAAGTCTTCCATATATTTTTAAAGGATGCTGTATTAAGAAATGGTGTACCTTTTGAGATCCTCCACGCTTCTCCACTTGTAGGTCTTTATAAAGAAGACAATTCTCGTAATCTGGCAAGTTGCATTCTAATTTAAGGCTTTGTTTCGTTTCCATAAATACCTATAATTTTGAGACCAAAATAGCTTGAATTGATTAATAGTAAGAATTAAAGAGGAAAATTTGGTAGGTATGTTTTCGTGGGAGTTCTCGTTGATTATGTCAAAGGAAAGGCTGTGGCCGTATGGCGATTAACAATTATATTGTGGCTCTGTTTTGAGAATTGACGTAGTTTGCGTATGGAGAATGGTGGCGGCTTCTCGGTCGTTTTCAAGTCAAAGGGCAGCATTGTTCTGGTCAATAACCAATGTTTTGTGTGCGTGTGCGTAATGCCTTGTACATCGTTGAAATGAATGAATGGAGTGAAAAAGTTGAGGTTTAAAATAACCTTCATTTTCAGTAGATGTTGTTGCTCAGCAGCTTTGCCTGAACTTAAATAAGGAGTACCAGCATGCGAGAGACTAAACATCTTTTTCACCCTTTTTCACTAAATGTTCTTGTTGTGAAGAATATGTGCAATTTCCATTTTCTAATGTAAACAACAACAGTGCAACACAATCAGCCAAAAATTAGGTAGATCAGAAAATACAGGCTGAAGACAACTTTCAAGAGCAGATGTAAATAATCAGATTTTTAGGACACGAATCCTAAGCTACTAAATACACTCGATGAATGAAAATCCACATTGGATTGCTGAAAAGACGTGGGGTTTTATGCGGGTTTCGTCTGTGAAGGTGAAGTTTCGAAAGCAGAGTGATTTTGAAAACGCAATGGTAACACAGAGACAGTGAAAGTGACCACACCCGTTTCTCTAAAGCAGCGAGGAGTATTGATAGTGGTAAGCCTTTTTACCACTTCTTAGAGTAAAAAATCTATTGACGCCACAATTTGTTCAATATATTGAAAACTTATCTCAAACTAGTGGATCTCATGAAATACTTTTAAGCTTCCTAAAACTCACTAATTTTATCGTTTCTTTTTGTCTTCATTTGTGTGTTCTTCTGCTTTAACATCAGGAAAGCAGTCAATTTCAGTCTTTCCAGCGCCCCCTAAGCCCTATGTTCACATTTTACTCCATTAAGACGGAAAAGCAAATGAATTCCTTCATTTTCTTTAAAAGCTGCATATTATCAGATTTTCCTGATATATTTAGCATTTCTCAACGTTCTTCTGCAAGTCTGTGTGGTGAACCTCGCATTGATCGGAAGCTTCAAAAGGCACCTCCATCTTGACCTTAACATTAGAAGGCCATGGTCATGAGACAAGTTACATGTCTTTTCTCGTGGTAAAGATTCCGTGCCACGTGTGTCAATGTTTGCAGAACAGACCTTTTTACATTGCTTTGTTAGATTTATCAGTCACTTTATAAATTTTGAGTTTACTTTAAGTGGAACAGTTAAATTTGATGAAATTGTAATGTCACGAGGCTGTGAATGAAATATTTGGATTTTCAGCTTCTTTTTGCCATCTGCTAACCTCTTCGGCCATCCCATTTTCATGTGAATTACGATTTGCCGTTTGCTTTGGACTTATGGGTTTTGCTTATCACACGGAGACTCTTAAATCAGATAAATCAACATGACTACATTCAAGTTAATAAACAAGGCCCTCCTCTTGGTAGGATTCTTTGAACAACAAAGAAATAACATCTCATACGATAAATCTGATTCAAAAGATCACAATTACATTTTTATCGCATACAAAATACTGAAGACCGCCTCTTTGTGATGAAAAGAATTTCAAATCAAATGGCAAAAAAGAATTCATCATGTGTACGAGTTACAAGTCATCCAAATAAATTAATGAAAAAGCGCTAAATTTTTGATAGCAAAGACAGACGCAAAAATAGGGGCATTGGGTGAAATATGTGCAGGGGGTTATAATAGGAACATAAAAAGACACATCAAAACTATGGTGGTAGGATGTGATTCAGAAAGAAGGGATGCACAAAACAGAACAAAGGGGGTACCTTCATAACCTGCAAATGAGCACTTCAACTCATTATAGCTTATGTTCTTAATAATGGGGGAATGTGCCCCTGGTTCTTACGTGTATAATAGCTAAAAAGAAAAATTTCTTCCAGTCAAAGAAACGTCTTGGAGAGAAAATTCTCCTATTCAAAATCATTATTTTGAATGATAGTACGTTTTTCCTGAATACATACTGAAATCCACAGTTATCATACGGCTAAAAAAAGTAATTTCTCAGTTGTTTGTAGTGTGAAAATCCGCTAGCTGGAAGTTATAGGTTGCTACGGAGGAGGTAGGAGTCTCCGCCCAATGATGGTTTCAATGTTGGCACAGCATAAATCGATAGAAATCGCTGGATATTGAGGTAATATGCCATTCGTGTTGAATGACAGCCCGAGTGAAATATTTCACCAAGCGTTGCCAAACGAGAAGCTACATACACTTGGGAGTGAAAGTAAACATTAACGGCATAAGTACGGGGAAGTTTTCATGGAGCTTTCAAATGAATCTTGGAAAGTTTAAAGGTAAATAGCTGCTGAAAATGTTTTAAGTTTCAATTGAAATGCATTCATTCTAAACTAAATTTGCTATTTGAAGCAATACACTGCTTTGTAAGGGCATCTGATAAAGTTGAAGTAAAATTTTGACTGGCAAATATTGATTAACGTAAATTTACACTTAACTCAATTCCTGTCTGATTCCGGGTGTTAGAAAATGTGCTTAAAGTTTAAGCGTAAAATGTGAGAAGTTTCTTAGTTGATGCACAGAATAAAGATGTAATATATCTTTTTTCTGCGTTTGATGATTAGGACTTGTGTGTTTGGTGATCTTTTAATAACTAACTAAATAACATAAATCGCACGCTGCCTGGTGAAAACAAACGACCGATTGGCAACTGTCAAAAAATCAAGAACTGGATATGATTCAAAATAAACGAAGATCTTCCTGCTTCACAAACATTGTGTTTGCTGTAACGCTTTGTGCTTTAGCGTATTTCACAACTGATAATGGTAAATAAATAGACCTGAGCTGGTAAAGAAATTTCCGACATAAAAAGAAAACCATTCGTGTAAGATAAAACTGATACATTTGTTATCAGTTTATCCTTCAGTGTTAATGATTATATAAAACATATTGGTTCTAAACAAGGCATTGATTCCATAAAGTTCGTCGTGCCTTCGCAGCGCTCCCATCAAAACCCAATCTTCTGCTTTTAAAACTTTAGTTCAAGATTTTTTTACGAGTTGTCCCTTGGCAAGCAAAGTCTTTAGTGAAACAGGCGCAAGTTCCATACTCCTGAAGAAAATTGCCGTCGCCTAACACCAAAAGCGATTTGCTCATAAAAGAGAAATTAAAGGGCTGAACATGCACTTTGCGGGTCACAGAATGTAACCATTCTTTTGACGTATTACATATTCTACAGGATTTATCGTCGATGATTATGCATCAGTATTCGGCGGTTTATAGCAACATCTTCATCTTAATTTCGTATGGATAATCCAATGAAGCAAACATGATCTTGCCGCCAAAATCCAAATCTTCTTAAACATGGCATCACTTTATAAAAGATTAACTTTGTGAAAATACATGTGGAATGTTAACGTACAGAAAGAGTTGAAACAGTTTTGGGCCGAGGCATAAAATCAGAACACAAACTCCTGATATTTAGGTTTGAATCGAAAGATTGGTTGTTTTTCTCATCAATTGTTCATTGATCATGTGACGTAAGCAGTTGATTCGCCCCAGGACTTTTTGCAAGCATCAGAGTGCCATGTATCCTTGCTTTCGTGACCGGAACTGTTGTTACCTCTCAGGGGCGGCGCCAGGCTATGATTCTATGAGGCACTCGATATACTAGCAGTACATTAAAAGAAGGCAGGGCGAGATGTTGTCGGAGGACCTACAATCCTTGCCAAAAATAACTGAAACGCCTTCCCATTGCCGCATGCAGATAAACAAAGCAAGTCTAAAACTACCTTACCAAAATATCACTGCCGCTTCAAAAATTTCGATCCCCTCCCCCCCTTACAATGTTGATTTATTTTCTCAATACTTTCATACAGCTTCCAGTGAAAAAATTTTTATCTTCAGCGTCAAAACAGCCGAATTGAAAAATATTGTAATGGGGGGTAGGGGGGGATTTTTCAAAAAAAGCTTCAGCTTTGCACAAGTGTTCCAACAATTTTGGCAAGGATTGTAGGTATTTCCAAAATAAAATAAGATAACTCTCGGTATATCTAAAAGAAGAAGCTTTCCTGCGAACGGAGCGAGCAAAAAACGGTTCCAACCACGCCCTTTACATTAGCTTAAAACACATTTCAGAATATTTCTGCAGTTATTTTCTTGCAAACGTAAGCCATGCTTATATTAGGTTTGATTTATTCCAGTCTTAAAATGGAATTCACTACTTTATGAGGCCTCGTATGATAATAGATCTGAAGCCCCCAGCCCCCCTCTGGCACCGCCAATGCCTCTGGAACTATGATTTGCACACCCTTTTTGAAAAATCTCAAAACACATCAAAAGAAACTGATAAATATGGTGTAGCTTTGCAATGTGGTTGCCCTGAGAAATACGCTGGAAAGCTTGTACCCATTGTGATCCATTTGAAAAAACTGCCTAGGTTAACCTATACATGTAAAATATAACCACATTTAAGAGCATATAGAGAGAACTTCGATGCACACTGAAACAAAAACTAGGCAGGAACGTAACAGCCACGGTATGAAAGGGATCCATGCCCATGTATTTGGGAAGAAACTACTGGGTACCAGACCGTGATGTAGCCATGGGTGTGGGTATTGTGGGGCATATGCTCCCTACATTTGCCCTTTTTTCAAAACCTTTTGCCTGCATGATTGCGATGCCAGTATTACGAAGCAATTTGTAGATACCCTTTAAAATTGTAGCACGAGTTAAGAGTTAACGGTACATCCCAAAAAGTTTCCTCAAATCTCCCAAGGGGCACACCTTTTATCTCTTTACAATTTTTTATGGACTTTATATAATTTAAGGGCAACAAGATCATAGATTTACAACAAGACTACAGGCAAGAATGCAAGATAGAGAAATTTTCTGAATAAAAACATGTCTATCAACACTGGGAAGTAATGAATTTGATTTAGGCATGATTTAGGACATGATATGTATCAAAGAATGTTTTTCCTTGACAAATACATAAATTAACAAAAGCCGTAATTACATAACGGTCAAAGAATCATTTCTTTGGCACGACTACCTCCATTTCTGAGAATCAACAATGCGACTCACTCTTTGTAAATTTCGTGCTAACCTCACGATGATGTTTAATCGCCAAAATCTCTCAATTTTTCCACTATTATTAGCTTTCAAAACGTTCTGTTGTCAAGCTGAATAAACGGGACCAAACCACAAATATTTCAATGTCTTATAGAATCAATTTCAAGAACAAACTCGATGTTTGAATGTCAACAAAGAGTATATATCCATCAACGTAAACAGGACATATTGTCGCCGCCATGTTTGTCTCTATAGTATCTTCACCTCATCCTGTCAGTGTCATTAAAACTCCAAAAATGACATAAACTTTTTCTAATGTCTATGGGACAAGAGCAAAACTCTTTGCACCGGCTCAAGTCGATTGTCAAGCAACTATCAGTGGTGGGTTGGTCTTCATAATCTTCCATAATCAGGGAACCCCTCACTTCCCAATTACCCGGGACCTAACTTGGCCAATAGGTTTGGGGGGGGGGGTGAAAAAGATTTCTGCCCTGCGAAAATGAGTGGTACCCTGCAGACCTTGTAGCAAAGGTTTGTCTCTAGGTTACTAGCGAAAGCTTTACCAGTGTACATTTGCATTTGTCTGCAATAAAAACAAACTTGAAGCTTCATTACCTATGAAATATCTATTTCTCTACATGAGCGTAAATTAAATCTCAAATTTGATTTTCCTTTGTAATAAAGTATCTCATGGCATATGATTTTTGGTACATGATATGGACGGGGGCGACGAAATTGAGCCTGGGGGCTAAGAATCAAATTTGGTGAGGTAGGAGGACCCACGGTGGTTTGGTCCGACGTGAAAGAAAATTTTTGAAATTATATGACTTTAAATTGATTTTAAATGGGCTAAAAAGCATCTCCCAGACTAAAATTTAGCAAAATACTATGCTGCTAAAAAACTGATTACTGTTTATTTGGAAAAATAGAAAGGGGGAATGTCATGCTAAAACTTAAGTAACCTTTCGTCTCCGATTGCACATAGTTGTGAATGACAGAGGAAGATGTTCTTTTGATTAGGAGAATATTATTTTCTGAACAGAAATGTGCAGTTTCTTGTCTTGAGAAGGCCATGTTTACACACCCAAAATAAAGACATTATATTATACAGAAATTATACAGAAAGTGATTTGCTGAATTAATGCAAATAATAGACAAATAATAGAAACATACGTGAATAAGTTGGTAATTAGATCAAACAAAATCGGCATCTTAACAGTTTATTCTCTTTCTATTTCATACACTGTTGTAAAAAGTAATAGAAAAATGATAAAAAAGTTCTTATCTTCACAAAAGTGGGACCTTCAGCCCCCTAGCCCTCCCCCTCAGTGGCACCGTGCCTGTCATGATAATAATTTACAACTTAAATTATTTTGTGTGGACTCAGCCTTGCCCTTATAAACATATGCATCAATCATCATTGCATCCATTGGTTATGACTTTCGGTAAGAAATGCTTTCGATTTGCTAGTAACGGAGCTCTTCCTGACATGAACTCAGTGATTCGATTGGCTAAGACCAAGCTACTTGCACAATTGATTGGTCTAGAATTAGCTAAAAACCCCTTGAAGCATAATAAAACATGTACGGACACAGTGCCTTGGCCAGTATACTCTTTTCTTTGTTGGTCCGCCAGAGAAGTCGAAGAACCGCATTCTCTTTTAAAGGTCGGCAGTCTGAGCCAACTCGTAATTTGTCAAATGATTGATACGGAATTTTATAAAAAACGCTGGCATTTGGGCTGTTTAGGTACTTGCTCCGAGGCATTCAGTCCACAGGACAACGTTTGAATCTAATATATCCGAACCATTTTCGCCGGACGAAAATACTCCGCTTTGAGTATGGTACGGGCGCTTTCGCTCCGGAATTATTGAGTGTCTGAATTTGCTCAGTGCTGCCTCTGTATAGAACATATGTTACGAAGCATAGAGCGTAGCATCTTCATGTGAACAGAATTCAAAACTGTTTAATGTCCAGTTTAAGGGTGTGAATAGTCGTGAAATTCGTATCGGAATTGGTCAGTGGATTCGATACTCAAAGATCCCGGTGTAGTGGTTGCAGGGCCTAAGGCTACGGGGGAGGCACTTAGCATACAAAACTCGTTGTGATGGAGACAGACTGTTTGTTTTACATGTCGATCTTTAGAAATCACTGGATTTCATATCAAAATAAGTCATTAATCTCGATTATTTAAACAAATGCCAGAATTCAGTCTGGCCATGACGCGATCTAACTCTTTTGTTTGTTCTTAGTAAGATATGTGAGTTAATTGGATTTTCGTTTATTTATTTGTAGAATGTCAAAATGCATAAAGATTTTTGTCTGATACGACATAAGCAAATGTATAACAGCGCCTTGTTTTAACAACACAAAAATTAAGATTATGATGGCTAAAATCATCATCATCATCATCATGTTTCTCTATCAGGTGCATTTGTACCCTAAATAATGACTGACGATCATGGAAATATTTTGAATTATCGCAAGATTCATTTAATACTTTCTGCGCCAATGGCATCGGGATTATCTATTCGTTTCTACATCGGAAAAAGAACGAAAATAATCGATATTTATTTTGGCACAGGCAAGGTAACTGTGGCATTTGCGATTGCTCTAAAAATAAGAATCTGACGTTGGGTTTTGAGGGAAAGTCAAATAGAACAAATGCTATGATGCAATCATTTGATGTACCTAATGAAAAGCTTTTCCTTCGCACCTTCCGTTAAAAAAGATGAGAAAATAGATTTAGAAACATTCGATTATTTTTAACACATTTTTGGTATGTTTTTCTCAGATTCAAGCATTTGGATTATATTGTTGGTTAACTGTTGGACCTTTTTTCCATATTTTGTTATATTCAGCATGTTTACATTCTGTTTCTCGGACAGGAATATATCATTAAGGAAAATTTTAAAAAGTAAGGTTCCTTACATGGATCCGTGTGGAACCCCTGTAGGCAGAAGGTGCGTATCCATGATTATGTCAATTCGATCTCATGTCAATGTTGCAGAATTTTAATGAACGCAAAGAGCAGCGTCATGTTGAAAAAGCACAGCGACGACTGTGATTAGAACGGACAAAATTTTTGAAACTACCAGAAATACTGTGTACAGATTTGTCGTACTAGACATCAGCCTGGAAAGCAAGCTTTAATAATGATTCAAAGAGATTTGAAGCGTTGAAAGGATGACAAGCCTTGCTAGTGTCGTATCTGACTTGGCTAAATTAGGGGTAATCACAACAATATTACGTACACACTCAACCTCATGGGTAGAAAACCTTTCAAGCTATCCCTACATCAGACGACCTGCTTTCACTGAAACTTTTTATGTTTTCAAAAAATAATCCATTTGACTGTGAATTTCAAGACTAATTGTGATTGCTTCCATGTAACGTAGCAACATTGCTAGCTGCACGTTAATAGACGGTTTTGTGTAGCTGAAAGGACATTAAATTGGATACAAAATGGAATTAGCCCCCCGCGATCATGTTCTATGAAACAGATTTCCAATAAAATGACGTAAGCGTCCATCAAATGAAAAATACAGACTCTTAAAAGTTTAGAGAAATTATAATTTTAATTATCTTACTTTTAGAATATTTCAATCGAACAAGCGTGCGAAACTTGCAAGAACCATCCCGTAAAATAAGAGAGGCAACTCCGTAAACGCTTTTCATTGAACTCTTTTTAGCGGTTAGAAAAAAGTTCCAGACGAAAGATTCTCACCCGCCAATAAAGTTGAACATTAAACTATGGTCAATTTTTATTTTGAGAAAATTTCAAAGTTTGTTCTTTCCCGTTGTCAATTGTTATAGTTGAAGTAACCATTGGGTGAACTGCAATTAAATCCGTACCCTTGGCAACATTCTTGTATTACAGTTAATGACTCGATGGAAGTCAGTATTTTTCACGTTTTTAGAGATAAAAATTCAATACAGGCGGGTACTTTTGAATTCATTGCCTTTTAAACAACAAATTAAAAGAAATTAAACATCATAATTTTGCCTTGATTACTTCGATCATTCGATTGAAGGTTTGGATCAGGCAAATCAATTGATCTTTGAAGTCGGTTAGGCCAAAAAAGAGACCGGATATCTAATGTTTACATCAAAGTCCCCGATTTACTCGGCTGACAAAAATCCATAACGCTTTTCTATATTTACATTTATTACAGACTTCCCAAGATAATACAAGCCCATACATTCTTGACTTAACTTTTATAAACAAGCTTTTAAAGGCCTGGTACTTGGTAGCACTGTAACGTTCCCAAAGTCACTCCTTGGATAGGATATTGAAGGATGTTTTGAAAATCGCTCTTTTATTACGAACTTTGTCTTTAGAGACACGAGGGTCTCATTTCAGACGTTTTATGGTTTCCAAATTACCATTCTTTAACTCCATCATCATAATACTGTACGCTGACACAGAGAGGGATCACTGACTGGAAAAAGATTGGCAAATGCCACTGTACGTCATGTATGAATGCCAAATCCACGTGACCGGAGACTCTCTGTTTCTATTTAGAGAGAATCTCCCCACAAATTGCGACGCTCAGTCCTGTATTGAAAGATCCTGATAGCAAGATTGATTTTGAAATGGTCTTTATGGATGGTTGGTGCGTTTTCAAATCAGATAAGCATCAGAATCATTATCTCATTAGGCAATGACGCTGAATGCTAAAGGGCGACCACACTATAGCAAACGCACGACAATTCTTGACTTCACGACCAAGCACAGGTTATACAAACACGCAACAAGGTGAGTGAAAACATATTAATAATCTGATATACTATGAGCGAGTTGCATCGCCGGGTGGATTGGCTGAAAACTAGGGCAAAGCAAGTCAGATCTTTCCTTACGGTTTCGTAATCAAGCAAGAAACGAACATTATGCAAATACACAGTTTGCAACGGATAACTTAGTATAACACTCGTTATTGAAAGTCTCTTATAACGTTTATAGAACTGAGCAATCTAAGTTTCTTAATTTATTCTAGGCTGACAGGAAATTATAAAATAGTAGTATATAAGGAACACCGCAACGCGATGAGAATAAACAACAACAAACACACATAAATCAGTGATGGCTAATATTTCGCCCCGGCATACGGGGCTTCATCAGAGTAAGAAAGGAAATTATAATGCTGTTTAAGAACAGCCTTGAATTGGTAAAGCCTTGCCAGGGACCGCTCTTCTGCCAACATGACATTAAGCGAATTATGTTGCCTATCCAGATTCACTTGTAATCAGTTGCCTGTTTGGGACTGGGCTTGCAACCCAGACATCTGGCCGATCATTCAGGTGAGCGAAGATGTTTCATTTCCCTGGAGCATCCGACAAGAATTGCCTTTGATTCTAGATCTTTTGGCACGTTTGTCAATGTGGCAACGTCTGATATTTTCAAGCAATGTCATTTCAAGAAAGCAGAAGTTTTCTTGAAAAACGATAAAATAACAAAGGACGCAGTTATTGTCCTTGCCAACCTACGTCAGTTTCGCATAATAAGATAATATCACCGAATATTAGTTTTCTTTTCATTGAAGGGCATCAAGGAATTTGGGGCAGGAGGGTAAGGGGCAGTAGGGTAAGCGACACCTAGTTTTGTTTTCCTGGGATGCCTAATGGGAATTTTGGACACTTTCAAACCTGAAAGAAGCAAACACCGCTCTTCTGAAAACCCTTGGATGCCCAAAGGCCAGCTTCTCTCCTCAGACCCATCTCCGTGAAAACGTCTTTAAACCGTTTTCTTGTGCATGAATCTAGTAAACCTCAACCATAGAGATAGGACCTCAACATAATATGCATGCACTCTTATCGCTTATCGTACAATTGCTCAAATCTCTTTGTGGCAACAGCATAAAATGAATTCCGGCATCGATTTTATCATTTGTAACCCCAAATAGAACATTGATAGGGGACTGAATTTGGCGTCATTTAATGTATTATCTATAATGGGAAAATTTCCTTTGTCTCTATCAAGGAAGCGACGACAAAACGCTTGTACCCCATTGCGGAGGCTCCGTTTTCCATCTGCTGGATCATTGTTTCTACTCGTACCCCCACTTTAATTCAATTGTCCTTTACTTCTATAAAATAATCCTAGATATCTTTTTGGGGTTATCTAGTTTTGGGGTAGTTTTAGGGAAATCTTAGATAGTTATCGGTGCGGTAGACTGCACGAATACAGACAGCTGTATGCTTCTAGTGGGGGTTTGGATCGTGGCATTTGAAGGGTTTAGGGATGTGACTCTCCAAATGAAAAATTTTCCGTCATGGAGATGGATCGATTAGAGTAATTCTAGATGATGTCAGCGAAATGAATTTTCAGATTTTTTCGGTGATCTGGTTTGACAGAACAACACATAATGACTTGCAAAATCAGTTTCTCTGATAACACAATGACTGAAGTATGGCCAATAAAGATCTGACATTTACTTAATGATTACTGCTGTTTTGACGGGCCTAGGCAAATTTGGCAATTCTAAAATGCTTTTCAGATCATATGATATGAAAATATAATTATATTCTTATGATGTCATCGCTTGACAATGGATTTGTCACAGGGCTTAAGTAGTATCTTCTCCTTTCAGCTCGATAACGTCATTTCTTAGATCTGTAAGCGTATCATAAAAAAGCAGCTGTCTACTTTATTCTTCATTCGAATAAGAGATTTTTCTATTGCATATTAAATTCCATTTCACCCACAAGTGGTCATAATTCCTAACTTCTATGTTTGTTTATCATTATTATCGTCAATAAAGCCCTATATCGACAATATTTTCCAAGGCTCTGTTCGAATCTTCCTTGCATTTAGAAATGAGGCTCATTTCACGCCAGTCTAAGTTTGTTAATCCAATAAAATCATTGACAAATCATGGACATTTGAAAATTGAATCCTGCTATTAGGTAAGGACAAAGAAGACAGCGAGGTGATGATCGATTGAATAAGAAGGTTTAGTTCTTTAGAAAACTAAGGGAGCAGACACTAAAATTGAGTTAAAATTCTTACAAATACCATGTTTAGGCGAACATCTTTATCATCCGAATGATCAACGATGATAGTTTAGGCAACTGGCTTTTTAATAAGATTTGAGGTTTATAGAACGCAGTGCGGAGATAGGCCTGTGATCCCATCAGCATTAATGCGATTGTTGATGCTTTTCTCCGCTGAGTAGTGCTTTTGGTAACAAAAAGCCAGATATCGATGCCAGTGTCTACAAAGGACCTTTGGTTAAAGGGGAAACGTCTAAAGGTGAAGGATAACTAAAAAGGAATGCAATTTGTAGAGAACCATCTATGGACAATACTTGGTAATTTTGAGCGTTAGAATGTAAGTTTAGTAATGAATATGAATAAAAATGCTTCGTGATTCCATCGGTCAATCTTTTTGTAAAATAGAAGTTCTCTGCTTCACCGTCAGATCAGCAGCACTTTCATTTAAAAATTTAAGGCCTATATCATAGGGCGATTAACTGGGCTGCGGGCCATCATTTCTCGCTGTTCATTCTACGTCTACTCGAAACGTACTTCGATTCAAATTCCTGCGGCCACTGGAGTTTATCTTTCATCTTTTTTCGCCTATTTTGTCTTTTTGAAAAATATTTTCCATTAGTTCGTCTACAGGTGGCATAAAGATTATCTCGCTATTGGAAATATTTTGAAACTTCTGAAAGTGTCCACGATCACCTCCAATGCTTACAAATCTAACTTCATTGCCATCATATTAATCTTTTTATAAAAGAAATTTGAAGCTTAGCTACGGCAATGGGATGGTCTACCTATGGGATGGGAGGCTCTTGCGGTAAAATATAATATTTGTTTTGCATGAAAAACTGAAAAATCTACAATGGTTTTCGTGAACTAAAAAGGACGTTAAAATTTGCCAAGTTGTTAAGTATGAAAAGTCAGTTAAACATCACTGATTGTAGTAGAAAGCCATCTTTTGAAAATCATATAGATAAATTGGCGTTAAGTTAGCTTTCTAAAGCTGTTCTTTTACTTGCATATACTGCCTCATTGCAGATACTGCTTACATCAAGCATATAAGTGCGTTCTGTTGCAGGGATCTTTCTGTATAAGTGATAAGGAATGATTTGAGAGAAAGAATGGTCGGCAAAGACCTTACCAAAGATAGGGCAGTTTGGAGGTCAATTACTGAACACCGTCCAACGCATACTAGCACGTTAAACGGACGTTAAACGAATACGATGATGATGTTGATGATGATGACGATGAAATGAGACACGTGCTCGAAATACAATTTAAAACATATGTGCCAACTGAACCAGTAGGCTAAAGGAAGCTAGCAACTGAGAAAACGAATGACGTTAGAATATCGAAAAGCTGACTCTGAATTACTCCTTGATCCGCAGGTTCTTCACTCGCACCCCCTCCTGTGTGATACATGTGCTTTCCTGCTTAAGCTAAGACTTCACACTTTTGTTATTCTAGGTATCAAGGTTGACGGATGAAAAGCCTCGAGCATATATGATGCAAAGTAACACGATTTAGTATTCTACGACAATTTAGCAATCTGCAGTCTCACTACTCAAAAGAAAATCTGCAGCACGCTGGACATTTTTATGTTCTTTGGAATCAGGCAATTGAGAGAACAAAATATTCATATTTTTGAAAAAAATCCATCTTCATGGAACTAATCCTCTACAGTATGGCAAACGCAACAACGTTCTTTTTAGCCAACGAAAACTCTTCCACCGTCTTGCCTCCATACAATTATACAGTTGGGACCACTAATGGGACTTTCTCTCACAGTGTGTTATGGTCGACAGTGACACCCTCAGGTCCAAGCAGAAGTCTACCTGCACCTACAGATCCTTACGTTAAGCTGGCTCTGTACATCTTGATGGGTTTAGTTGCAGTTGTGGGAATTATCGGAAATGTTTGTGTGTGCTTCATAGTTATTCGAGGAAAGAAAATGTACACAATAGCCAATCTCTTTTTGATGAACCTCGCCTTGGCAGACATATTCGTTTTGTCAATCTGTTACCCGTTATCAATCATTCGAAATGAAATGAGCTGGCCGTTTGGAGAAGTGCTTTGTAAGATACTGCCATCGCTGTCTGATAGTTTTTATGGTGTTTCAATGGGTTGTATAACAGCCATAGCCATTTATAGATACCGGATGATTCTGCATTCAATGACAACACATATGTCCTTTACACATGCAAAAATAACGTTGGTAATCATATGGGTTTTGGCTCTGTGTGTCATTTCTGTTCCACTGTGCTGGATATTGAAACTTAAAACTTACAGAATACCAGTTTTTGTGCCAAGTGCTGAATCGGCGAGCAACGCCCTTAACATTTCATATTACCCAAAACCAAACAGCTCATTCTTGGACACACAAGATTTTCCTGTCAATTTTGGTCTTAACAGTTCGGCAAACCCTCAGGGATACTTGGCAAACACGACTGACAAGAACCAGTCGACTTCAGCCAACCCACGTCAAAGGTACATCACAATCCGCAAATGCACTTCTCAATGGCCGCCGCGGTTTCGCAAGATCTACCAGATTGTGCAAATATCTTGGTATGTATTGCCACTTTCAGTTATTCTGTTTACTTATCTCCGAATCAGAACATACTTGAAAAAAACACTTCGCTATGAATGGACAAAGACCGGTGAGAACAGCACGCCACAGAGCGGCCTTACGAACCGCGTCATTGGCATAAAACGCGCGTTGACTCTTCTTGCGCCGGTCGTCGTGACTTTCGCCGTATTGATGTTCCCATGGAATCTGCTTCGATTTCTGTCTCTGGTGATGAATCTGTCTGAAATTGAGCACATATACACATACCTTGACATTGCAGCTGCAATGATGATTGCCAATTCTTGTAGCAACCCTTTTATATACTACATAATGTCGAAGGATTTTCGAGATGAGTTTCGACGGCATTTTCGCCAATTTACCAAGTGCTATAAATCAGGGCGTGACAGCGCAACTAGCGGTCGTCGCCTTTTAAGATCCGTGTCATCGTTTAAGACTCGCGAAGAAACCATTGCAGCTGATGAAGTGAAGACAGAGCGAAACAGTCTCGTAAAGCGCACAAGCAATGCAGACAACGTTTTCAACAGTTCCTGGGAGAAGTACGCTGTGCGTCAGGTCGATTCGCCTTTTCCGACATGGCATGAGAAGCCAAGTGCGACAAGCAAAGAACCTGAAGCCCCGAATGAATCCGCGAAGCTTCTTGAATCAGAACCGGTTTATGATCCAGATAGGGAAACGATCATATGAGATCGGAACATTGTTCTTGAGAAAGAAACACAAAGCTGACAGTAGATACCATTGAGAAGGAAACCGACGAGACGCTGACAGCAAGAAGGAAAATCAGTACATTGTTTGGGGCCACAGTATTCTTCTTGCATTATACATGCATAAACTATATCGAAAGTAGATCTAGTTTAAAGTTTTAATGCATGTGGCATAGTTTTTAGAGTCGTCAGAATAGAATGTCTTTAAATTTAGATGAATCTTATCAAAAGCCATTTACGTATTTGATTATGTTCCCAAGTGTTGATCAAAGACAAGCCCCATGTCTTTGGAGATTTACATGACCTTTTGGAATAATTCAAACTGTTTGCTTTATCCAAAGAAACTTCATGAAAATTTGAAGCAAATACCACCAATTAAAATACTAAAGAACGATTCTAAAGTATGCCTGCCTAAAGGGCTAGTTATGAAAGTTTTCTGGAGGGCCCCTGGCCCCAATTGGACATCTCCCTAGTAATAACTACCTTATGCTCTTTGTCAAAGAGCAGATATTATCTATACCACTTTATATCTAGATATTAAAGTAGGATTGTCAGACGGAAGTCACCCTTTCAATACTACTATTCTAACTTAACATACCATCAAAATTTCATACCAACAGGCTTGACAAAAGACCCAGCTACTCATTCTATGGAGGCTTGACAACAGATCAACTGCTCATGTTCTTCCCAAGGGACTACAGAAGCAGGGGTGCCTTGGGGGCTTGGCCCCCTTAATAATCTCCAGAATGTACAAGAAAACAAAACCATACAAAAGATTGCTTTGCCCATGGGTTTAAAGACTGCTTACCTCCCAAAACGTTTTAGCCTCCTAATTCTGTAATATGCTCTTGGGTCCTTGTTCTTCACTGCTCATTGAAAGAGTTCTTTGAAACTATTACACCATAAGTACCACAAATGGCTTATGAATATAAAAATTAATTTTATATACCTTGTAGCAATGTAGCATTTTGTTATTCAGCATGATTACAGTGTACTTTTTTAACACTTCTAATATTATTCTATAATATAGTCCACCATGGAAAAATGCTTAATTTGTTTATGGAAAATTTTTCCTCATGTGAATGATGCTTGAAAGTGATGCTAAATTAAACACAAAAATATCAATAATAAGTCAATTCGCAAAATATAAAGTTGCCAGAGAAGTTATCAGAAGTAAGATCTTTGTTATTTTTCCTTTTATATTCAAAAGATCTTTTGCCAAGACTGATAAAACTTGATAAGTATAGTGACAATACTTTTTAACTGATAGCTCAAGACTGATAGTATATTTGCCAGAAACCATTCACAAACATGTTCTGGAAATTGATACTTTCAAGTGCTGGGTCTGCATGTAAGTAACAAAATTTTAAGAAAAAAAAATTCTTTTTAGCATAAATTGAAATACTTGGGAGGCAATTAGCCACTGGTATATAAACGCTTATATTCCTTTAAAACCAAGCTCAAAGACTTTTAACAAGCACCGCTGGTAAACCTGCTCTTACAACAAGAATTTTATTTTCATTAACTTGACAAATAGCCTTTTAGATAAATTCTTGCAATCTTTTTTGTTATCCAAGACTTGAATTTGTTTTCACTATGTCCCAACAAAGAGTAAGTTGTCAATGAGAAAAACGAAATAGTTTGCCTTGTACATTACATCCTTCTATTCAACGAACAAAAGTGGGAGCAAGCTCGTCAAGACGACAATGTGCATAAAGAAGGTTTAGTTTCCAAGCATCTGTTACTCCAGACTGTAAAAATTACTTGAAAAAGATTATAAAAATTACAAACAAATACATGAAATATAAGCAAACGTAAAAATTGAATTGAAATCATTTAGTTGACATAAAGCCTTTTCACACACAGACATACAAATTGCTGTAAAAGTTTCTCCTTTTTGAACATGCCTTTAGACGTTCTTTTAGCATGAGATATAGTTTTTGTTAGGGATGTCTTGTCGGTTTTGTTTTGGAACGATTGTCTTGTCTAAAGCACAACTCTTGCATCATGTTGCTTTGCTTATTCTATGTTGGCTTGCAGGTAAGGAATTAGAAATAATGGGTGACATAAATAGGGTTTGGCCACAAACTTAGAACTAAGCATCATGTATTTTAGATTACAGTTGACTGCGCTTATAGTCACACTAAATTTTTTCCAGAAAAGTGTGACAATATACAGAGTGTGACATTAAGTGGAGTTACCCAAACAGCTAAATAAGTGACAGAAAATCAGTTGTTGTGGTCCTATTATATTGGCAAAGAATCTGTTTTCAAGTATTTTAATAATAATGTTCAATGTTGTGTAACCTCCTATTTCAATGAAGAATAAAGCAAAATAATAAAGGGATAGTATGTTGGATGCATACTGCGTGAAAGGCAACTTTTTCCAATCTTGTGCATGATAACATTGAAAACAAAACTTTTAACAAGAATTATGGTCTATAGTAGGGAATTAACCAAAAATAGAGGAAAATGCAAAGACAGAAAAATGCAAAGACAGAAAAATGGAAACAAGAAAAATTTAATTTTTGGCTTTAAGTGCTAGATATAAAAATTTATTGCCTAAATGGGACTGTATAAAGAGTGTTCTGCTGTTCAGGAAGTAAAAATGTTGTGACTGTAAACAGAGTGTGATAAAAGCAGAGTGACTGTAAAAGGATTTGGTTGTAAGGGTTTGACCAGAGCTAAATTCAGGAATCAGCAATATAGTGATAATAACCGGAGGATGACTGTAAGTGGAGTGACTATAAGCAGAGTAAACTGTACTAAAAGCATTACATTCAGTTTGACTTCACTGTCCTCAATCTTCGTTGATAAATCAGCTCTGACTTTCCTTCCGACTTTGCAGCAAATCGAGCAGCAGCAAATAGAAAGTCACTCAAACGATTGACATACTTATAAACATCCATATCAATGTCCCCTCTTTCCAAAATTGGCACCAATGACCGTTCTAACCGTCTACAAACTGACCTTGCAACATGCAACGAGGCACTAGTCTTTCCACCAGATGGTAAGATAAAATTTCGTAAAGGTGGTAATTTTTCAGTGTAGTTATCAATCCAGATTTCTAGGTCTTGGGTACTTGCAGTAAATTCCGTTCTCTTCTTGTGTTTATCGCCAGCGGAAGATCTTGGGGTTGCAATATTTGAGCCAATATCTTGCAATATACATTGTATTTCCTCAACTTTAGAGATAACCTCTGTCTCACCAGAATCAAGGCAGAATTCTCTAGCGAGTCCTAACGCTGAAGTTAGCTCATCCGTGTTTCCCAGCGCCTCAAAAACGGCATCATTCTTTGGTCTTCTTTCCCCTGTAAACAAACTGGTTGTTCCTTTGTCGCCAGTTTTTGTATATATCTTTGGAGCCCCTTTAGAAAAATTAACAATTCTAGTAGAGACACAGCGGTGTCGCTCAAAAGAAAAGTTTAAAGCATTTTCAACATATCTCACCTGGTTCATCAATGCTCTTGGTCTTCTCATAACCAAAATGGATTTTCTTAAAGCTAACGCCATTTTGATTTTCGTGGAATGTCCCACCTCGTTCGCATGTTACGTCTCTCCCCTTCAGGGTTAGAAAAGAAAGCAAAGATTAATAATTTGTTGTGCTCAAAAAACTGTTTTGATTTAAATGTGTTAATACGAATATTAATCCTCTATTCTTGTTTTTCATTTTGCAATGAACTGAATTTTGCCAATTTACATGAGAAAATTCCAGACCTTCATTACATCTAACCAATAATCAACCTCATTTTGGTTGCAACCGTTTCGCGCCAAATCCTAGATATCGAATTCTACAAATTGCATAACCAGCTGCATATTGGAAGTTAAGACTAATATACTGCATTTACAGCTTAGATAGCATTATATTAATTAGAAATCAAGATGTTAGTACAAAGAAAAAGTACAAGGCTTTCTGGGAAAAGGAAATTGGAAGGCGCAGATTCCTCGGTCGTAAACAAATCGCCTAAAAAGTCGAGGAAAGTTGAAATTTCAGGCGATAGACCACATTCAGAGGTGGGCTCCTTTCCTTTCATTAAAATTTGTTTCGATAGCACTCTTTACATTCTTCTCCTCCCCCATTATGCAATTTTTGGAAGTTTTTCTGTCGAGCCCGTTCAGTATTTGTTCTATAAAGACCCTCTAATTGTAGCATCAATTTCAGAGTGAAGTTGAGCTGTGATCGATAGTTTGCTTTTTCAGGTTAAAAGGCTTGCTGTACAATTAACAAAAATAGAAAGTAAAAACGAACCAAATGGTGTGAATGAAGACAGTGATGAAGAACTGGCATCAGTTAATGGTGATGACGAACAGCAATTGACTTCATATGAATTAGAAAGACTTCTAAATATTCAGAAGAACGAGAGCTTTTTTAAGCAGCTGAATTTTCACGAGGTACTAGACATCATAATCCTTTAAGTTACTTTCAGTTGATCTACTGCAAATTCCCCTAAAATATAAAGATAACATTATATATGCTGAAGAGTTACTTTGAGTGTGCTTTTTGATTTTACCTGCAACCAGGTAACATAGAAAACATATCAAATTTCTACTGATTGAAGAAAGGTATCTGAATGTAGACTTGAAATTTCTGTGCCCTTTTATCTAAAAGAGGGCAATTCTGTATCAATTTTCTCAGGCAAAATCTTCATTCAATGAATCTATTGGCAAACCTCCAAGGGTAAAAAGGACAGAGAAATATGGCTTGAAAAGGTTTGTGACAATTATGCATCTTATTTTCAATTGGAATATCATGAACAAAGTATGTTGAAATTACTGTAGTATTTATTTGAGATGGCAGTTGAGATTAATATCAAAGTAAACAATGATAATAATGAATAAAGAATTGTTAAACATTTAATTATTCTAAAAACAAACTTTTGTGCTTTCATATTTCTGTGCCAAACATACTTATCAATTTCTTGCACAGGGAAAAGAAAGAGAAAATTCAGGAGCCAGTGGTTAGAAGGGTCTCCATGAGAATCAGAAGAATGGACCCAACAGGTCTTCCACTTCCAGAATTGCCGGATTCAAAGGGGGCATTCCAGGTTTGAAAATATATGTTTGCAAATAGTTTTAATTAAGGCACATTCCTTGTTAGCTTCTTCAAGCTACCTTTTTTAGGTTTCATCTTTAAAGAAAAAAAAGAAACATAGATCTTGATCCCCATTTTTGTGGATTTTTTCCTTGATTTTTCTTTGTTAATCTTTTTTAATCTTGTTCAGTCTCCCCAGATTCGTTATTACCCAAGGATTTTAAACAGAATAGGTCTGCACAGTATTGACATTGGAAATGCTGAAAGAAGGGTACTATGCTTTGCAATATCTTAACAAATATTTTCTTCATATTTAAGAATGTTGAGTTTTTATGCCAGTGGTGTTGATTTGGCCAACATCCGTATTGAGTAGGGAACCCCCAAAAGTCATCAAATTTTTAAAAGACACCTCCATTTGTCTGGGATTTTGTTATGTGATAGAAAAAAATTATTTATAATATACTGTGAAACATTAATATTCATGTGTTGATCCTTTTTTGGGGTGGCATTCTTCTCTCTTTAAATATAAGTATTTTTGTCCTCAAAAATCCCAATAAACCATATCAGATGTTAAAATTTTGGTGTGCCATGCATTTTTAGGTTCGAAAAAGTAGTGAAGCTTTAAAGATGGAATCATACAACAACATTGAAAATGATATTTGCAAGAATGTGATCCAAGAGTGGTGCAACCACTGCAACCAGGTTCCTTGATTTTCCATTTATTACAATACGGTTTGTTTTCAAAATCAGGCAAAATTTAGTTTATTGACCAAAACAATACAGTACAATGCACTATGCATTAAGGTATAATACACAATGTAGGATAACACAATATAATGGAATAAAACAGAACACGTCTTACTTCTATTTTACATTTTACTTAATTTTGCCTCTAGCAGTCAAGGACGCTGCTACAGATACATGTGATGAGTTCAACCCACATTTAGGCTATTTCCTGTCCTAATTAAATGACAACCAGATGGGAAATATTATCACAATTCATGTACTTTGTAAGGTTTTCTAAGTCTCTCATTCAACTGGGAAGTATTCACCATCATTAGTCAATGGAGTTGTCATTTTTGCATATTTAAATGTCTCTTTTCTTCTTTGTTTTCATCTTTGCCACACAAATGCATGACTGGAGAGACACCTTTGTATCAACTGTTAAGCTGCCCTTAAAGTTGTTTGATTGTCTCTATAACCCAGGGAAAAGTGCCTGATATTTTTAAATCTTCTTATAGAAAACAACACATACCAAATCTGGAGAAGAATTTGATTTTGAAAGGTCAGTTGATGGTTGTTATAAATCAACTTAGCAATAACATGATTGAGATAATGCCAGTCCTTTCTGCCATTCACCTTCACAAGTTTTTTTATTTGCACATGAGACATTTTGACAATTTTCTGATGTTTCTTGCTCTAAAGATTGCCAGAAGTAAAAGTTATTTTAGTGTTTTGTTTTGGGGCAATGATTAAGTTTTGAGGCATGGGGGGGGGAAGATTCAACTTTTTTTCAACCTCAAATTATTAATTTTGAAAACTTTTTGTTGAATTGCAATCTCTGCAGTTAGCCTACCTTTGATGGTGCAGCTAGGCAATTTTTTATTAATTCCGTTGTCTTATCTTGCTGTAACATTTTCTGTCTGTAAAGCTACTCTGTAGATACATCTTCCTTGCCTTGTTTGCAGGTACAAAAAAGGAATCCAAAATTTGAGCATTGCTGACAACCATGCAGCCAAGGTTGTACCAGAAAGAATATTTGCTCTAACTGTTCATCCGATGGAAACCAAACTTCTGGTATTTGCAGGGGACAAATGGGGAAAAGTTGGCATCTGGGACGTGGTTGGTATAGATTATCTTATGATTTTTATACATCTGTTGTTTGTTTTTGCATATCAGAAAACAAAATACTTTTGTGAATGTTGAATACATATAAGTTGCTATCATTAGGCAAACAATGATTAATTAAACGTATTGTTCTATTGTGATCTGTCTATTTTGTTACATTAGGATTCTAAAGAGGGCCATGATGGTGTATTTCTGTTTGAGCCGCACACAAGACCTATCAATGTAATCAGCCTTGATCCCTGTGATGATGCAAAAGTATTTACCTGCTCATATGATGGTACAATCCGTTGCGGTGATTTGCACAATCAGCAATTTCTGCAGGTAGGCTGTTTTTGATTTTTTTTAATGAAACAAAACAAAATGCCCTATGACTTAAAAGTTTCAGTTTTCTGAATGACATTGGATTTCTAAGGCCAAAAGATGTTTAGTAAAGAAAATGCAAACCCTTGAACACATCTACTTTATTGCCTTGTTAATAGTATGTTACCCATTTTTTGAAAGATTCCTGAACCCAAATTTATAATGCATATTGTAAGGACAAACTTAAATGAAAATGCTAGAAATGTCTGTTGATTTAGCATTGAATTTGTAGCTTTTGATGAAAGCAAGCTCAAGATAACTCACTTTTAATGTGCCAACTATTTTTTATTTTATTTCAGGTTTATGAAACACCAGAGGAAGATGACATCTTGATTAATGCATTTTGCTGGGTGGCAAAATCAAAAGGATCAATAATGGTTGCAAAAAATGATTATACTGTTGGACTCGTGGATGTGAGATCTGGGTAGGATGAGTTGATTATAACATAATTATCGAGAAGAGCAAAAAACAATAATATTATGCAGTTATCTTAAGGGGTGTTTGTTTCATGAAGAAAATAACGGCTTGATGATGTGGTTACCACAAACCGTTATATTTTCTTTCTTTGAACTTAAGGGAACCTTTAGATAAAAAGATATTTATTTTGTCTTAGTGTAAATAGTTTCAATCTTGTGTAAAATGTCAAAATTCAAATTCATTGTAAAAAACTGAATCATAATATGTGATAGATGATTAAAGAATTTAATTTGTGATTATCCTTTAGGAACACAAGATTAATTGTGAGTCAATTGTTTTTACATTTACGTTTTTCAGAAAGGAAGAGAACAATTTTGTAGCCCATGCAAAATCAGTAAGATGGGTGGACTGCCATCCAGTGAATGAGCATTATGTTGTTACATCATGTCAAGATGGGTATGAGGTTTTTGGAAAATTATACAGCAATTTTGCAACTTTATTTCCAGTTTATGTCAAACTGAATCCCTGCTACCTCAATTTCTTTAAGCTTCAATTGCTCTGTATATCCAAAATCAGGAAGCTCTCTGTCATTTTCAAAAGTGCTTTCAGAATCCTATACAAACTTGTAAAGTTTAAACCTTTTGTCTATGATTCCAAAGATACAGACAAGAGCAAACTTGTGTCCCCTCAAACCTCTCTCCATGAAACGTTTGTTTGCTGTTTATTGTCCTAATCTACATAGCTTCTATTGTGACTGAATATTGCTGCAGTTTATAAGCTGTTGCTTATCTTAACATGAACATTTATAATTTTCAATAATTCTTTTTGACACTTAATTCCTTCATCTACAGTTTGAATTTTGCATTGTCAAAATCCAAATTCTAGAATTTCAAAAGCTTATGCTACTTCTGTAATAACTTCAAATTCTTGAGGCCTTAATATAGCCTTGTTTTAGGTCTGTGGCAACCTGGGATCTCCGGAAAACAAAAAACATAAAATCAAAACTGAGTGAAGTTTGGGGAAGTCGTGTTGCATCTTCAGCTTACTTTTCACCTCAAACTGGAAACCAAGTTCTGGTGACTTCGCTTGATGATACAATTAGGTAGAGGATCATTGTGACTTTTAAATTTTCTATCGCCTAAATTTTATATCTTTATTTGAAGTCTATGATCTGTATCAAAAAATTATCTTGCTTAACTAATCCTTCATACTTTTAGGGTTTATGATGTCAACATCAACGGAACACTAAATAACCAACCAAGGTGTAATATAAGGTAAAGTATCATGAAACGGTCATGTCAAATGGCGATGTAACAATTGTCTGATATTCCTCTCTTGTTTTTACATGTCATGGTTTTTACTACCTTTGTTAAGATATATTTTGACACCAACTCATGCTAAACGAGAAAATCAATGCAATTATATATATATATCTTTGATTGCTCTATTTCTAAGTAGATTTATTATTATCATTTTTACAGGCATAATAACCAAACTGGGAGGTGGTTGACAAAATTCAGAGCTACATGGGACCCAAAAACTGATAATTGTTTTGTTGTTGGCAGCATGAACAGACCAAGAGCAGTAAGTTTGCGATTGTATGTCAATATTTCTAAAAAATTACTGAGGCTACCAAAGGCTTTATAAATCTTTTAAAAGATTATTGAGGCTACCAAAGGCTTTACGAGGCCTTAGGAAAATTAGCATAGAAAGGAAAAACCACTAACTTATAGCAAATCTACTAAGGAAGCACACACTTAGGAAGTGCATGAAGGGTTAGAAAATATTTTTAAATCTTAGACTCTTGTTCACCCAGACCTCTATTGTCCTATGACTAGTGTCCAACAGGGTATCTATCCTTGGAATCTTATTTTTTATGGATTAAGAGGGGGTTTGGGGGTTTAACATTTTTCAGTTTAGCCATAGAGCCTGTTAAAATGGGGGGACTAATTCCCAAATCTTCAATTTGGTGGTCCCTTGTCTATATGTATTTTCTCTGTAAACAATCACCTGGGCATTCACCTCTGGGTCACACAGTGTAAACAGGTAGATTATTTTTCTTCTGTCCAGTTTCTAATTTTGTATGTTCTGACATTTTATGGTCAACCAATAGGAATGATTAATTATTTTAATAATTCAATAATTTTTATAATTGATTATGGCGGTCTTCTCAATGCTGCAGCTACAGGGCAAATTGCCCTTCCCTTTGTTCCCATTTCATAACACAACTGGGTGTCAAAAAAGATAACCTCGATCAACAGGTTATATTGCTATAGTTGAACAGCAAATACATATTTAATATTGCTTGAGAATAAATCAAAATATTCTTGCCATTGAATGTGACTGATTTGAAATTATAGGTAGACTTCTACAACACTGATGGAAAAGGGACTTTAATTACACAAATGTGGCATGAAAACTTCACATCAATAACATCACTAAACACTTTCCACCCAACATTGAATCTGGTGGCTGGGGGAAATTCAAGTGGCAAGGTTTTCATTTGGAAATGAGAAGAACAGGATTGAAATTGCTTTTGATTTGCTAAATTTACAAAATATTTGCTGAATATGTATTATATTATTAACAAGAAAAGGCTGTTTTGTAAACCATCTTTTTATGGCAAATAATGTTTTCAGTAACAACATGGACATTGAATTGTACTTTTACATTTTATAATTTCATTGTAAAAATATATATTTGTTATATACTATGTATAATATGATCTTTAACTAAAAGGTTGTTTCATTATCAAGAACATTCTATGTTTTTAGGCAAAAAAAAGATTCCCGAAAAATGTTGAAAAATCCCTACTACTTGCTAACAGATTTATGTTTATTGTCAGTAGACAATTTCAAGATTAAATTTTCTGCCTGGATTTGCATTGTATAAAACTATTAATTAATCAGTGCTCATGATGTTAATCACATACAAACATACTTTTTTCTATGATTCGTAGATCTACCAAAACATGTCTTAATGCTGCTATGAAGAAATAACTTTTTTAATGTCTACCTCAGTGAGATTGTCTTTCACATACTTTTGTACATAACTACAGGTTGGCTTCACCTTCAAGTTCTTTTCAAATGCAAAATCAAACCCAGCCTGAAAATAAAAAAATATCAGTATGAGATTGATGACAAAATGTTTCTATTATTGTCAAATGCCTGCAACAATTCCATTAAGAGATTTTCCCATTCAAATGCTGTACATAGATAAAGGAAGGATATTTCATTCTCTATGTCTGAAATATTTCTGGATTTTTAAAGTAAAATTTTGTCCAACTAAATCAAGCAACTCTGCGGGGGTTTCCAAAAACGTGATTTTTCATGTCATCGCCCCAGCCATCACAGTTGTTCTGTTTATCTACCCTGTTGCAAGGTTAGCTTTTCATGTGAGCAGTTGTACATAACAAGAATACTGAACAATTGCAAGACTTTATTTTAATGTTACTTGATAAGTTGGGTATACAAAGCTCTTCTGTATGGACACATTACCTTTAGGTTTGTTGCTTCAAGTAGATGTGCTTCTTATTTTTCCTAACTGTCTACAGCTTCTTTCTAATGGCAAGTTTCTTATAAAAAATGGAGCGTATTATCTATTGTCATGATTGTTTACAAAATGATGCTTGAGGAATCTCACATGTTATTGTCTAGTCAGAGAGACTGTTTTACAAAAAAAATGGCAAAGTCAAGGTGAACATTTGGTAGACAAATCAAATGATGACTCAGAAAGCAAAATGTGCTTAACATACAAAGAGTGTTTGTCGCAAAACATTACTGTCTTTGTAGAGTGAACAAAGAAGAGATTATAGGCCAATTCCAAAGATACACATATGCCCCTATATAAACATAATTTCTCTTGAAGCTTCTGTGAACAGTAGCTTCTAACCTTTACAAGATGCTTTGCTATTCCTTGACCTCTGTGAGTTACAGGAACACCAGTATGGTAAAAATCCAATATATGTGGGCTAGTTTTTTCATACTCCAAAACTGCCCGTCCTGAAATGAAACCAAGATTTAGATAAGTGGTATGGCCTCACAGAGTATTAACATATAGTAGCGAATGAAAGTACATAGTCATAATACCTGTAACATTGATTGCTATTTTAGTTTTTCAATTTTTTTAAAGATGCACTACTATTATACCAATCTGTTTTAATTATACAGTGTTATCCAAGCTAAATAATCATTTTACAAACATACACATGCTTGAACCATTGATCTCTAAAAAGACTCTTTTAAAAAGAACTTTTAAACTAACGAGAAGAGAAACCCCTGCTATATTTCGATACTGGATCTTTCCACCAAAGTATTCACAATTTTTAGTTCAAATTCAAATTAAGACAGGTTGTTAGATAACTTTGTTGTGCTGAGGTAACACTTTATGTGGGCCTACCTCCGTCGTTGTTCAGTTCTACAAAAAATAACTGGTTATTCTCATCATGCATAATGCTTCCGTTCATCACTGTACACAGCTTTCGAACAGCAATTGCACAGACCCTTTTTGAAACAACCTCTCGGCAAATGCTCAGCATTCCTTTTAAGAAATTTGTTGCAAATATGATTTGTGCGAAATTGTCGAGAACAAATGTAATTCTAGAGTTGAAGCCTCGTTCGCGTTCGGTTTTAACAACTTGAAAAAGAGACCAGCAATAACGAAATTAAGAAAAAACAAAAACAAATAAATTTGATAAAGAGAAAAAAACATGTAATAGACATAAGAGATTTTGAATTAAAAAAGTTTAGTTTTCGTGAAGGCATTTTTGCAGTGGAAGATAGATTCTGGAAGATCCCAAGGAACATCTAAACAACAGGCTTGTACAATTGATCGGTTAATTTTTTGTTGATTTTATGGCGTCGTCACCTTCTTCTGCTTAAAAACAAGGAACCTATTCCAAGAATTTTACTGGTTATGGATCGAAGGGAGAGGGCTTGATATTTTCAGTCACGGTAGGACTTTCTAAATTGGAACTCAGTAGGAATTTTAAAGGAATTACAAATCCTGAAGTTCACAAATCCCAAAGCTGATGGCCCCAGGTCTATAAAAATTCTCTCTGTGACCGCGGAGCATATTACAGATTGAGGGAAATAAACGTTTTGGGGGGCTAAAAACATGCCAAAAATCAAGAGCAGCGCAATTTTTGCATGGTTTTATGTACATTCCGGAAACTATTGGGGGGCTAAAGCCCTCCTTAGACCCCCACCTTTGCGGTCCCTACTCTGTGCCCAACACAATAACCATCAAACTGTCAAATAATTAGCGTGGGCTAGTATTGTTTCTTTACAACGTTTTATTTACAGCGTAATTACGAAGATTATAAGCCTTTACGGAACAAAAACATGTTTGGCCATACTCCACAGATCATCGAAATTTGGCAGGTCCCGTTGCGTCATTCAGACATTACTTGAATAGCTTTATTGAAATTGCAGCCCTGATAAATGCCTCGTCATGCTTAGATGTGAGATCAACTTAGGTTTACAACGGAGGAGCATGACATTGGATCACACTGTAGAATGCAAAGTATTGGCGGAAGATGCGACTTTCTGATGGTGTAACATTATTAAATTTCCATTGGAAAAGAAATATTGGAGAGAAGACAGAAAAGGAGGCATCTCAAACCAGCTGAAAAGAACTCGCGTAGATTCTTAGAATTATTAAAAAAAGTCGAGTTAAGCATTTCAAATTTCTAACTGCAACAGAAGTTAGAAAGCGAAGGGAAATAAAGTTGCAAATCAGTTATGGTTAAACTGAGAATGGACACAAAACGAGCTTTCAGGATATTGATACTTCTCTGTGAATGCTTGTTCCATTTTGTTATTTGTGAAAATAAACTGCGTTGGGAAAAGTTATCTTTAAATGGAACTGGGCCTGAACCTAATGCTCGAAAAGATGCTGCTCTGGCTTTCGATCCGAAACGAAGTACTGTTGTGTTATTTGGAGGAAGATCTAAAAGCGAGGTGTACTCTGATACTTGGCTTTTTGATTTAAAACAGAAAAGCTGGAAATGGGTAAACGACACAGTTATCGACCTCGAGATAATACCTGGACCAAGATTTGGAACAGTTCATGGAACAGATGGTGATAGATTCATAATAGCTTTTGGTAGCAGAGATTTTTCTAACTCTTTGTCAAATGAGGTATTCCAGTATGACTTCAACTCGTCCAAATGGAGTCGTGTCTGGGTGAAAACAGGTGATCCCGATAGTCGGTTTTTGGCGAATGGTGGGGTTTTCAATGGCAGTCTATTTGTCAGTCATGGGTACGGAATCTCAGGCATATTGTCGGATGTTGAAAAGCTTGATTTCAGGAGACAAACTTGGGAAACTTTGCATGAATGCGTTAACCAGTACAACCCTGTTTTGCCTCATGCAAGATACGCCCAAAGCAGTGTTTTGCTTCCTGACAGAAAGATTCTAATGTTTGGAGGTTGTCTCAGGTAATCTAGCATCATATCACTGAAGAGTTGTCCTTGTTACCTATTTTGTATTCTCTTAAAGATCTAACACATAATTTTTCTATTGATTGTACACTAAATAACTAAATTGAGAGTCGATTTTGCAAATTCATTATTTTGCTTTCTCTGCTCCCTCTGTTTTGCATATCGTTACCTTCCACTTTTCTCACTACTTTAAAACGTCTTGAACACGCTGTTCAATTCTAAGTAAAGGTTCTCGAGATACTGAAGCTTTATACTTACAGATACAAACTTTTCGATGCTTTCCAGCATTTCCAAATAAACCAGGCCCATTTTGAGCTCATACTCTGAGCAGCAGCAGTTATCTTTGAAACTCTACTCTGAATGAATTATGTTTGAAACTCGTGCAAATTTCTTTACTTGCTTGTACAAAAATTTTTCACTTCCCCCAATAGTAAAATTCTGCTGCTAATCCAAATAGTTTTGTACACGTTTCGTTTGCATTCTCAGTCTGTTGGTATATCATTCTATATCTCTCTTCTTCATCATCACAGCAACGTATAAATTAATTAGCCAACTTGATATAATAACAAAAGATACGATAACACTAAAAACTTACCACGTGTTTTTCAGTGAAAAGAACTCGGCTGGCCCTTGTCCTTCCAGTGATTCATGGCTATTTGACATTGATTCCAAAAAGTGGAGTCAGTTGCAAAGATGTCCAGCTGCGAGAAGGTCGTCAAGTTTAGTGTTGTTACCAAACAGCACGAGGACATCAGCAGCCGCCATTTTGTTTGGAGGAGACAGCACCAGTAACCAGATCATCAAAGTATCATTCTAAAATTTTAAGAATATCATTTTAAGCTTCAGTTTCATTTATTTAAAATTCAAACAAAAATTTTACATGCGATATTAGACACGATATTTTGTCAAAGAAAATTTTTAATTTGGTAACGTAAAAAGTACATTGAAACAGATAAGTTGATAAAACATTGAATTGAAATTACTGATAGAAGTAATAATTTTAACAGCATCCAAGCAACTTGCTTAAAAGACTTCATAAACATAAAGTCAGTTTTTAAAATAAAGCAAATTTTGGGTTGTTAAAATGTTCTGTTTCCGACAGGTAAAGGGAATGGAGACATCAAGAGAATTGGTGATATTTGACAATACCGAGAAAGAATGGGGGTACAGGACAGTTTTAGAGGTTTGTTCATATTTAATTATTGTAGAATACATTTCAAAACTTGGTTTTTATCATCTTTATTGTTGTTATGCAAGATTTTGCTTCCCCTGAAATGAGTTCTTTCCAAGCTCAGTTTATGCAACACTTAAGTCGAAAGAAATTCTGAAGCTGACCACTGTTGTTTGGAGAACATAAACTTGTTAAGAAGCATAAACGGAAGCTATTTTTTAACCAAAACAATATCAAAATCAATGTCAGTCGCTCTAATTATGCTTAGAACAAAGCCTTGACATTAAACATTAGAAAAATGTGTCTATTTGTTTCAGGATCCTCGATTTGGACTACCAAAGCCTCGCCATGGTCATTCAATGGTGACAACTAAAGATGGCATTTTTGTTTATGGGGGAGCATCGTCGAGGTATGAAACTGTTTTGGCAAGTTAACTTGAAACCAGTGAACGGCCTTTGTAAACTTATTTTCAAGTAGGCCTAGATCTCCTTTTTTGCAACACATTGTCAATATTGATTATCATTTTTTATAATTCTTTTTATAATTTTTATAATTTATAATCTTTAACACATATGGAAGGCTTTGTGGGACCCTTGGGAAATACTCTCTCACACGATACTATAGCTGATAATTATGATTTTACCATGAAGTTTTGCAGTCTCTGTTAGATTCTTTAATACATCATTGGTAGGAGTTTATAAATTCGTTAAAGCAAAGAACCAATTAAACGTGCTGTTTTTCCTCTAGCATTACTTTTGCTTCTCACCTTAATATGAATTTCTAACGTCTAGTACTCCAACGAGGAGCAAGTGAAAAGTGTACTAAAGTGGCATGCGTTATGCTTTACAACAATTTGAATAACGTTAAATTGTATTATATTCTTAAATATTGTTAATGGTGTGCATCTAAAAGAGTAGTTGACAGCTATGGAAAAGTTTATAGAGATGATATCCTATCTGTATAGAGATGGTAAGATACTTGGGGATGTCTGGTTGCTGAGAGGTGACATCAATTCAGCGAAAATGTCTCCAATTCCAAGAAAAGACGGCAGAAGCAGCATCACTTTGATCACGCTTCATGGAATCTTTATGTTTGCATCTTGGGGAATTTTGCTTCAGTTGGGTGCTTTTGTGGCTCGTTACATGAGGCATAAGGAGGGAATATGGCTCATGTTGCACAAAGGATTGAATGTAAGTCTGTGTTCTCATCACAAAGTTTCAAAATCTCTTCTTCAAACGAGCGACAGCTTGCTTTTCAGAAATTTCCTTGGTGCTCAGTGAGGAATTTTGATGATATTCTAACAAAAATTTAAACTGTCAGAAAAAATGAATTTCTTATCCAAAAAACATAAAACCCTAGTTTATCTAAGTCATTCATCACCTTTTGACTTCCATGCTACTGATATGCTGTTGTATGCATATATTTATATGTATACATGTTTATACATATCAAATGCAAAGATTCGGGGTAATATGCTTTATCTTTAATTTCCTTTGAAGCATTTTCCTAGCGTAACACCTCTACCCGAAGTAAAGACAATTCACATAAGAATATTTCGCTTGATAAATATTAGGCTAATGGAAGCTTAAAAGTACACACGAAAGTAAGAATAATTATGACCGATCAGCACCTATTGTTTTAAATGGTTTCTAGGTTGGAAAAGCAAAGCAATGATGAAAGAATTATTTTGCACATTTTAGGTAACTGGTCTTTTGGTCGCCATAGCTGGTTTCGGGTTAGGAGTTGCATCTTTTAGAGGAAGCCATTTTTCTTTTGCACATGGAGCGATCGGGCTAGATATCATGCTGGCCGGCCTTTATCAGCCGCTCAATGCTGCTTTGTGAGTAAATAAGGCTTTGTTTCTTTGAGTCTTTATGAGTATAGCAAATGTTTGGTTACGGGGAAATGTTCAGGCTAAGTATATTTTCTACCCGGCAGAAATAAACAAAACAAACCTGACAAGGAATTGAAAATTAACATTAATTTTCTGTGTTACGTAGCCAGGGGTGCAACTTTGAAGGAGGAAGACGGCAAAGTAAGAAAACTGCAGCTTCCTAGAGGGTTTTTAAAACTTTTACGACATGGAGGTATATCATTTGTAGGGTTCTTTCTTGTTTACCATATCAAAGATAGTAGGGCCTTCCTTTGTAGGCTCCCCTTCCTTTTCGTAGGTTTGTCTACATTAAATCTAATCTAAAAAATGCTGGGATAAAAGTTTTAGATAGACTTTTCTGAAAACTGAAATGTCATTCGCATGTTTTAGCCGTCCTGCCCAGCCCAAGGATGGTGAAAAACCAACATTATGGAGACGCATTTGGGAGATTTCACACAGATTCACTGGCAGAATTGCTTTGCTCCTGGCTATTGCAAACATATCACTTGGCCTATTCTTGAGTCTTGCTCCTAAATCTGTCTGGATTACCTGGTTTGCATACATTGGCGTTATTATGCTAATTTATGTGTGCGCAGAAGTACGCTCAAAAATGAAAATGAAAACAATGTTAGTTGCTGAAGTAGGCCATGAAAATATTGCAATGTAGACATCTGTGGGCAAAAAGCTCGGAGATATCTCCCCATGAAAGAAATTTTTTCACCTTTACATTTTCATCTTTAAAAACATACTTAACTTTTATTTGTGTTGAAAGATACTGTAAAGTTTTGAATTTACTATTGATTCATATTTTGAGTAAATTTCAAGAAATTTTCTTTGTGTTTTAAAATTAGTCAGACATAGAGACAATGTACAGAGTTAAACAAAATCAAAATACATAAGATCAACCAGGTGCTTTTGTTTTTAATAGTGCCTTAAAACTGTTTAATACCAAGAAAAACATTTCAAAGTGTCAAAATACATATAACATTTCACAAGTTTAGAGGCTATTTACGTTACAAAATCGTAATTACGAAAACGAAAATGGTATAGGCATAGTTTCATTTTATGGTTTAACTATTCATTATATCATAGGTGACTTTCTGAAGTGTTGTTACGCATTTTTGATATCCTAGTAAGAAGGTCTGGCAAGGGACTTATGTTGTAAATTAAGATAAGCGTTATCTGTAGATGGTGGCCTAGGGCGCTCGATACAGTTCAGCATATAGTTTCAGCTTGCTTGAAACTGTTGAAGACGTTAACAGACGTTTATAGCTATACTAAATGTTTAGATCTGACATTTTTTATGTAGTTATCACGTTTATTGCACCTTATCGTTTCTTCTTGTTTCAACGTACTTTGAACTGAATTGAAGTGAATTTGAAATTTAGTAGAGGGATCTGGGGATGACATTGCTATTACGTTGCAATTTATATAAGTAGCAAAGATACATAAATATAACAACTTCTATAGCCTGTGTCCAAGGAAGGGGACTTAATTAAGCACCTAGCGATGTTTAGGCCATTTTCATGACCAAACATGATAAGCTGCTTCTTGGCAAGTTTGAATATTAGGCAACTTCTACGTTCACTGTACGTAAAGGAATCAAACCTTGAAACATGCAACGTGAAATCTTGTAAAAAATGAAATTAAGATATCATTGTATTTACACTTATATCTGAGCGACTTTGTATGTTTGTCTGAAATACAGATCAAGGACTATCGGTCTACGCAGAAAACATTTATCTTCGCTTTAAGTTACATAATATAAATTGCTTATGATTAGCTTTATATCAGTAAAGTGAATGTCTTTTCGCCTATCTCAGCCACGCGAAGTCTGCTAAGGTTGGGCGTGGTGGTCTGTATTTTACCTTCATTTTCATGCCCTATACAAAACCGATAAATTAACATGATGAAGTAAAAACATAATTGATGGAATTTTAATCTGTGTTGCATCTTAGGAAGCACTCTTCATTATTCTAGCGCAAGTGCTGATGGGAATATTAGAGGTGAAGCTACTAACTATTATGCGATACCTGATTCGATTTGAGAAAGTACAATTTAGTTTCAAAGTTACCCAGCTTTAAGTGTAAGTTGAGTACTTTAAGTTAAGAGGCAGAACATTTATTTCCCTGTTTAATTTTTTTTCTAATCTAATACTTTCATGACTTTTTATTTTAAAAAAATCATTATCAGAAAGTAGACAATTTAATTATTGTTTTGATTGTATTATTCATTTTATTATTTGTAAAAGGTAATGTCGAAATGAAGCAAAAATGAAATCAAGGTTTAATCACAGAGAAGGATCTTAAGAAAGTAATTTCTAACCCACCTTAAGATGTTCGTATCTCAGAAGACGTTTCCTTTCTTTGATCTTTCGTTGTTCAACTAATGCATCATGAACCTTGAAAAACACATCAATTCGACATTAATAATACTGCCTTGAAAAGTGAGTGATAGATGAAATGAAGCGATAACGGTCTTAGACAAGACATTTATCCAGGAACATCGGGGCCACCAACAGGCAAGGAGGCAGGCTTCATTTTCCACTGAAAATTGGCTTTCTTCTTTAAGTTTTTCCTAATTCTTAACTTTCATTGTATTTCGATCTTCTTCAGGCATGCAGAATACTGCTTTTCTACTGGCATAAGAAATTCCTTTTACAAGTTTTGAGAAATTTTGCCATGAAAAATGCCGATGACAAGGGGCAATACCACAACGGGAAACTTCAGGCATCCTGCCAGTCAGCGAAATTACATCCTTAATCCAAGAATAAAACAAGACAAAATAATTTTGAGATGTACCTTCAGGCACAAAACCAGATTGGTTTAGACAAAGAAACTGACGTTTTCGTGGAAATTACTTACCTTTACCATTGAGACGTAAGCTTTAGTTCCACAAAAGAACTAAATCACAATGAGTTACATCACTATTTTCGGTGTTAGAAAGTTACTATAAAATGCTTGAAGAGCAATAGCACAATCATAAATATTCCTAAGTTTAGAGAGCAACTTTTTGAAGTTGATGTAGGCTTTACACACCTCGTCGTTTTTGTAAAAATAGAAGATGAAGACAGTGATGCCCTGGAAACAAAATAAAAGAAATGAGAATAAATTCCTAATTTTTCAACCGACTGATTGTAGATGATGGTGTAATATGTGTCAGTATAAAAACATTAGAGTACAGAAAACGTGGCAGTTCCACGCCCAAGATAAAGCTTAGCATTACAATAACAAAATAGTGTATATTAAAGGCAGGCATGTGTATGGTTTTCGTACTCTGAAAAGCTTTAGTAACATGTTTCAAAATGTTTGCTTTTTACATAGGCTTTGTATAACAAAACGCATTCCTTCCTGCTGGTTGCTAATGGCTGTTCTTCCTGACATTTCAAGTATTACAATGCATGTTTTACGGGAAAGTTATCCTTTTCTTAAATCTAGACCAAACTTGGTAAATATTCAAACTTAAGAAAGACGTAGAGCTAGGGATCGGGCTGGGGATAGACTGAGGTTAACTGCAGAGAAATAAGCGTTGAGTGCCTACCACTGCGGCATTAAAGGCAGGTATCATCATCAAGTATGGTCCGGCATCAAGATCACTCTTTGTCACACCCACTGTGGCCACGTACCAAAGAATTGCAATTAAAGGCAAAAAGAAAGCCGAAGCCACCAAACTGCGCCTGAAATCGATAAACGAAAATGGCAAATTCTATAATGAATTAAATTTGCAGGTTTTTAGAAATAGAGTGAAGACGGAAAAAGATATACACGCTTTAAAATGTTTTGCAGAATATTCGTATTTATAAAGCAGAAAAATGGGATTTAAATACTGGACAATAAAATTCGTTGATAACCTTGAATGGTAAAATGTTCAGAATTCCGAAGGCGCTCTAAATCTTTTCATTTCAGCCATTAAGAAGTACAATGGCTTCGATTACAAAGGTTCTCTACCGATAACGCTAGTTATGCTCACTAGATGTTACTTACAACGAAAGCATCGCAAAACCATCAATGCTGGAATTCTAAAAGCTTCTTACCTTACGCACTGTAACTGCTAAATTTGTACGATAAGAAACTGCAGATAACTAGGGAGGGATTAAAGAATGAACATACCATGCGCGCTGGTAGTTGATGTCTCTCACTTTACGTTCGGGGTGTTTCCAAATTTCGTAGAATGTAATCAGGCGAAGCACCAAGCTTATCTGTAGAAGAATCACGCTGATTAAGCACAAAATGCACGTTTTATTCATTTCTTTTGTAATAACCGCGAATTGTACGCGGGACAAACACAACCATTAAGCAAAGTAAATCGCGACAAGCAACGTATAGATGCTCAATGTAGGCATTATGTGTCTCTTAAACGGACTGTGGTATACAGATGTAACGTCATCTAGCATCTCGAGATGCATGACTTTTTAAATTTGCGGAGATAACGAATTACTTACGATAAACAGAGCAGCAAGTGGCCCGGCGAAGAACCACATATCGAATCCTCGAACGTAAACCCAGCAACTAAAAGGTGAAAGATCAACATAGCAATCAATACAGTGGTTCAGGAATATGACACCTTTAATATCATATATGAAAAGTGTCAAATATTTTGTCAACTGGCCTGATTCTAAATACTGCTAAAATAGGAGAAAAAGGTTATAGATGATAAATAAATGCAATAGGTGAAGGGAAGGTGAGAAGCAAAGAGACAGGTGGCAAAAGTCAAAGCTGACTAGACAGTTAAGCCCTTCATCCAAAACTATAGTTGGAGCTAATTCACCTTCCCTTTGTTATTCAGGCGTGACTATAGTAAGAGCATTGATGGTGTAACTTCAATTCAAATACCAAATGAATTAACAAAGCTTAAAAGTAACATGCTGCATGTATACAAAAATCAGCAAAATAATCCTTTGTTAACTGAATCCAAACACGACTAAGAAATAAAAACAAGCTGAGCAGAACGAAATGGTGCTACAATACTTACTATCTGACTTTCGTAAAATTTTCAAACGGATAGCCAATAAGAGAGATAATAACAGCCAAAGGAAAACCTGAATATGATGATAGGAAAATTAACATTAGTAACTAAAAATTGATAAGAAATGCTAAATTGCTGTAAGTCATTGGCGCATTGACGTTGAGGACTGTTAAACTGTTCTTGTAAACAATAGAACAAAATTATCGATAAGAGCAACAATAAAAGTAAACGTTGTGTCGACCTGCATAAATTGAGAAGTTTGAACTTCAACAATTCCTACCATCTAATAAACAAATTAGCACTATAACTCCTTAAAATAGATTTACCTTCTCATTTCACTTAAGTTTCGTACCTTTGTTACGTATTGATGCATAATATTTTTAATCCATCTAACTTAAAAGCCAAGTATTATAACTTCAATACTTCAATGAAACACAAACTTATTTGAATTGTGACATAAATATTTAGCAAAGCATGTCTTAAGTTCGATTCCTAAGATCGTTTGATGATGCAATAAATATACATTACCCCAGCCAATCACACTGTAGAAAGCCTCGATGTTACTTTTGTCTTCATTGAAGAAGTAGCGAATGCGTGACAGTTGGTGCACAGATTCCAGCATTGACCAGCTCATTACCGTTGTATGAAACAGCTGCATTATGACGGACAGTGTTGTGCACATGCCCTGCACAAAATAGTTAATAAATATCAAATATTTTTTTATTCTTGAGAAGAGTTAGCAGTAAATTTTCGATTGAGTAATTTGCTATTATTGGTAAACAAAAAGTTATAAAAAGCGCCACATAGGCTTCTGATGTCTATAGCCGCCCTTAGACTGACCCAAAGTGTAGCAAACAGACGATAATGCGCTAAACGTTATAAAATGTTCAATCTCAGAAAAGACAAAAGAGACAGTATAATTAGATATCTTCTAAGGAGGAAAAAAGGTACAGGATCAATGAAGAACATGGTGGGTAAAAGTGAAAGGTGAATAAGAATTCCTTCTCTTGATCTTCTTTTGCAAGAATCCCTCGTTTAGATGTCTAAAGATGTGTTGTTTGGATTCTAAACGCTCTTACCCAATCTTCCTTCTTTGACAGACCGAATAAGAAAACAAGCTGAGACATCAAACAGCCAACTGCCATGTAGATATACATACGGCTGTACTTTGTGCGAGTGCACCTAAGATGCAAGAAACATCATTTCAACTTAGACTTATTTTTTTATTTTGTAATTATAGAGAGTTTGCAATGAATAAACATATTCGAGAGTTGATATGGCCCACGTAAACACAGAGAGAAAAAAGCTATAGAGAAAAATACATTTTGCAACCAATTACTATTACCGTACTTCTTGCTATCATGGCCTCCCTGGTATTAAATATGGCCTGGTCTCTGTACTAGCAGTAGAATGTGTGCAATAGTTTGCAAAATCTACTTAATCTTACAAATTAGCAAAGAAACAAAGGTCTAAGAATAAGAAGTGCTGACACACGACCAAACAAAATAATTCGGAAACAAAGTAGCAGGATGTAAACACTATTCTAAGCAAAAAATTACCATGAATTTAAGTAAATTGTATTAGGAATAAATGATATGAACAACTTTTTGGCGGTACAGCACTTGAAAATGGCTGTGAAGAAAACAAACATTTCACAACATGCTATTAAAAGATTTTTCGCCTGACACTCCTCAGAGTATAAAACGTCAGAATAAGGATCTGCAAGAACATGATGGAAAATATATAAATATATATGGAAAATATAATGGAATAAATAATAGATTATTAATTGACAATGTTGCGAGCATAGCCCGTTATCAAGTACAATTTACTTTAAATTCATAGTCATTTTCTATTATATTACACAGCATGCAATCTAGCATATTCTAAGCAGCTTTTAAAAAAAACCTGTTACCAATTTGATAAAAACAACACTCTTGTAGGCCGACAAATTACAAAATAAATGTTTCTAATGACTTACCCAAGCATGTACATTGCAATGACGTATGCAAGAAGTATGAGGATTGACACAATCGTCAATATGATGGTAGCCAGCGTAAATGGGTCGGTTGGCTCCGGAGGCTACAGAGAATAACAGTATGGAAAGAGATATAAAAAACAATTGCTAATGCCATCATATAAGTATGGCCAGTGCAGTGATGATGTCCTGTTCAACTAATAAAATGGTATAAAGCTCTAGCAAACATTAGAAGCTTTAGAAGATTTTTCGAACGGGGAGAGTGACTCAGGAATTGAGGGGACCTTCCGACCCCAAGGCCTCCATACACCAACATTTGAATGGAAATCACAGAATCTTTACTGTCAGGGGCTACTAGAACGAAAGAGAAGGGCTACTTGTCACATCAATGCAACAGAACGTCTTGTCTTGAAGCGCCTATATGAATATAGCTCTTAGGATTTGACACGAAGGCAATTTTTGCAATTCATATGGTAATCTAAAGGTTAGATATTGATTTGAAAGCCATGAAACGACAAAACCTTCATATGTAACAATTAATTTTCTCACCGGGTCGTAGTAAGGTTCCATAACAACGGCAAATGATGACAGTGTGACCTGACTTGCGGCACAAATTGTTGTGGTATCGTTCGTTTTGACCACCCTCATGCCGTAGTTTGTCCAGTAACCATTTTGATATTTTGTACTAAAATAAACATTCTTGAGTTGAAAAGATAAAATATTTATTTTCAAAATCAGAATTTATCTACTTCAAAATAGAACAGAAAAGCGGGAACACACCCTAAAAACTTTTGACATGATTCCGCGCTTTTCGTTTAGAATTATTCGCATCATTTAACTCATCAGAAATTATTTACTGATTTTCAGTGTTCAGTGACGTCACTCAGTCCAGACTTTTAAACATGTATTAACGCGTCTGCCAATACGTATCGTACGCATTTTGTCGTCTCAACCTTTTTCTGATGTTTTATAGAGAAATGTGGAAAAAGAAGGTAACAAGCGACCTTGAAGGATGTGTCCGTGTGGTATGGTTACCTAAAAATCATATGGTTATGTGATATGGTTAGCTACACCTATTTGCTACTGTTTCTCGGGAGGCTTGTGAAATAAGAATTACATATCTAGCTAAATTTACATACCTTTTCATTTCTTAACTAAATGCGAGCTTCCTTATGAGCTATGACACACAACAATAAGGAATACGAAATATAACTTCAATTGTTTAAGACCTTCAAACAGAAATCGATCTTATTACTCTTCATACAATTATTACTTCAGGTGTTGTATGACGTAATTTGGGATACCTTTCAGCATTAGTGCTTAGGTACTGCCAGTAGACGCACCAGGGTTGGAACATCCCTTTCTGCAAAAACAATGCACACAATCATCAGTATTTTGATTATGAAATCTCGACATATAAAGGAAACTGCGCTTGAGCAAACTAGCTACTTCTGCAAATGTTCAGACAACGAAAATTGGAAAACTTTGACACCCGAATGAAGAATATCGGGGTATTGGTTTTCCTCTTCCTGAGACAATCTTTATGTTTAGAACTTACTTGAAGCATTTAGCTCAATGACCAAAATCTTTTTAAAACCTTTTAACATACTTAAGTATGACAAAATGTATGAAATGCTTACCTTTCTATGCCAAAGAGTGATAATGATATCAGAGGCGACAGGAGCTTTTGGGATTGGTATGACACCCAATGATACAACCGCCGAGTTAATGATGTACTTTGGAGAATAAATGAGGTCGTCTTCAACAGCGTAATCAACGAAGGCACCTGTGGCTACCAAATGGCCCGATCTGAAGAGGAAATGTCAGAGGTCAGAATGGGCAGTGTCAGAGGTCAGATAGGAAAATGTCAGAGGTTAGAAGGGGAAATGTCAAAGGCAAGAAGGGGAAAAATCAGAGGTCAGAAGGGGGGAAGTCAGTGTCAAAATACGCAACAGCAAGGCAAGATTCACAGCATATTTACTTGTTTACTAAATCCAACAAAAGGATGACAGATAAAAGGCCTACGTCAAACTTTTATGATTATTTGAACTTTTTCAATTTCTGTAAGAAACCCTTCCTTAAGGATTCATTTTTAAATATACTTTATTGTTGTAAAAAGCACTGAAAATGATATTCAAAGCATTTTTTATCTTGGGTTCCACTTTTCATAACTATGCTATTAAAACAAAAAATCCTCTTGCCAATGTTGCTCGCCATATCTGCATAAGTTTCAGATATAAACTATTGCAGAGCAGGTGGAAAGCGTCTTACCTCCATGTTTTCTTCAGTCTCACATCATCTTTAGTTATTTTTTCATCTTGAGTGTTATCGTACATCATAAATGAGTACTGAAATACACCTGTGAGAATTCGATACAACGTAACAACTGTGTTTATATTATCATGATTACGACAAAAGTGCATTTTGGGTAATGGAAATATCATTTCAAAGGATGTCAGAAAAGCACACAAAGGAAGGACGATGTAACTTAAGTGAGTTGGTTGAATGTCAGATGAATCAATCCTCTTTCAATCCAATAGCATCTGTTTGCTTAAATTGGTGAGAAGCGTGGAACCTACCATCATTGCTATGAAAACACCGGGGCCCATTCATTAGAACTAAATTGGTAAATAGAGAATCTTGGTTGCTTCTCATTTTAAAAATGATCTTTGAAAACGTAATGATTCCACCAAATTACAATCTCAAAAAAGACAAAAAATCAAGAAAATATTTAATAATCATCGAAAGTGGAAATCCTTTAAAGTTCTGGCATACAAGCTCAATAAAGGTAAATATTTTCTAGACCCGGGATAGTGCAACAAGGTGTGGAAATGTTTTGAAAGAGACCTACCTGATGGTATCGTAGCATACGGGAGCAAGATAGTATCATTGCGACCATTCCATTTTCTCTTTGGAAACCGGTCCTGTTGGTTGTAATTCGGCCATACCCGATCAGAATATTTGTAGCCTACGCCAGCCTCGAATACTAAATATAAAAAACAGTTAAGAAACAAAAGGATAATGCCCATCAAAATAGAGTTTGTAGTGTTGACATGAGGTAAAAAAATGAGGGTTTCGAAATTGAAATAAATGGTTGCTAAAAACTTTTAAAATGATAACAAGGCTGCAGTAGTTCACATTAACGTATAAAGATGATTTTATGAAAGTGTGATTTCGGGATACACAGCAAATATGTAAATGCAAATATCTATGTAAATGTTTTGCAATCAAAACACTTGTAATCTAGATGTGAGTCTTTTATACAAAGGCCTTGGGTAGTCATAGTCCTTGGCTCCCCTTGGCATCGTCTTTCTAATGTAGTAATGTAGTAACATCGCAAGTAAAGTCCTAAGTAATTTCATTTTGCAAGTTTTTTAATATTGTGGAAAAAACCACAGTAATTTTGAGTTTATGTCAAATGTCTCAGGTGTTTTGCGCTCATCCAAGAATGGTATGTTAGACTTAAACCACTGTTGCAATTAGAGAAATACTCATGAAAATAGTTTCGCAAGAGCAACATTTTCAAAAGATTGAGTTACCTAAAAGCATTAGCAGCAAGCAGAACCCCTTACTAAAATTGAGATTGCTCACTGAGGGTTTCACAGGAACTAAACGTTTTGAAATTTAAGTTGCATCATTGTTATGATTAAATCAAACGTAGTAATAAAAAGAATTAGGATTGTAATAAAATGCAAGTCAGCATCATCAATGTGATCGACAGTGCTCAGCCACCTAATAAAAACTTTAATATGGTATCGAGGTGTGTAGAATGAGGAGTGTCTTGCTGCTCAGTGCTTTTATGAGACTGCCTTGTTTTCTCTGCTGTCATACAATTCCATTGCACAACAAAGCACTTAACAACTCAGATGTCTAGCATGGGTTTAAAGCTTATGACATACGCATTTTAGTGCCATCGAATCTTTTCAGTCGATAAAGATCTTCCTCGGCCGTGATGGTCCTTTTGTAATGGTAGTACCCAGCCAGCTGCGTGCCCAAGTCAAACATTAACCCAGGAAGGAGCATGCCTGGAATATCTGCAGCCGTGGGCTGAAATAAAGATAAAGTTTTAAATGAATCAAGAAACATTTAGAATGGAAGCCAGCTCAGATGAAGAAGCATGGGCGTCTATCATTAATCGAAAGACAAATTACAGAACCAGTGTAAAATTCTATTGTTTGCCTTGTAAGTTTTCCTACTATTCAATTCTGGTTCAGCTTACTTTCTGAAGATTGATAAAACTAGTTGTAAAGTTCTTGAAGCTTGAAACTAATTAGACGTGAAAATTAAATAGTTGAAATGTGGCGAAAAACTGGTTACCCTTTCGGAGAGGATTGCCTTGCATGCATAATACCCATTTGTTGCATTCAGAAAATTCTAGAAAGAAGAAGGAAAGATTTCCGATAATTTTCTGAATGTGGCCCGGTTCGAGTGCAAATCAATTAGCTTCAAGCAATAAACACACAATACACGACATAGTTTTCCAACGCAAACCTTTATAAAAAACCAAATACTCTTTACAACTCCTTAACTTGATTCGAACAGTCCCTCTAAACTAAACTAACTAAAAAGTCCTCTTCCCGGGGGTAAGTCAGTTCTTGTAATAATGGTTAAAAGGGGGGTCTTCGGAGAGGTCCTCACACTCTCCCCCCACAAAATGAATGTCTTCTGGACATTTCAGTCTCCGAGATGTAAAGTTCTTGTGGAGACACATTGATAACAACGTTCACCGTTCAATCTCTTATGCTCTGACAGAGAATAGTGATTACTAGGACAATTCGACGTCTCGATGAGCCCTGAATTACATAATCAATGTCCTTTGAGCTGAATCCTAATTGAGTCCTGATTACATCCACAAGATCAGCAACAATGTATCATTGTTCGACTGGATATACTTTTTCTTTGCTGCGCAGCGAAACTTATCTTGCACTGTGATTGAACAGTAGTAGCGATTATGAAAAATCATGTTAGGCATATAGACCCTCTTATTTGCGTAGTTTGGATGTTTTTTTTTTATTTGTTGGTTATTTTTAATTTGATATCATAAACGATAGTCAACACCGTATAAGTCTTACTAATAGTAAACAATAGGTCCGCATGGTGTGAAACACTGGACTGGTCGAAACATATTTTGTCTTTGTGGTGGTACAAGCGGTTGCCTCTGTCCAGCAAATGACGGATGCATAAATGGCACAAAGTTAGTCTGCGGTGTTAATGCAAGTGGATATATTGAGAAGATTCCTGCTTGATTGTCCACTGGTGTTCCTAACCCATAATACGACAATTTTGTTGGCGGGTTTCTAGTTCTTCTTGGGCGTTCTCGCTCAGGAGGTGGACTAGCAGAAACTGATCGATCAGGTAACCGCACTTCACTGTCTGGTACTTTCCCTTGTCTGCCCTGATTACTTTCAGCCATGGTGGTGGGCCCCTGTCCAACATCCCTGTGGCTATCCCCGTCCTGGAGCTGTGATGTATCACCTTCATTGTTCCCTATCAACTCTCTATTCAATGGTTCCTCTAAATAATGGCTCGCTTGTTCCAACTGATTTGGTGAAAATGTTGGAAATTGTTCCTCGTCATCGTCTTGGATGTTGACCTCGGGGAATGACGATTCTGGGCTTTTAGATGGCACGTGTTCGATCTCTGCAGCATTATTTGCTTTTCTTTTTGTGTGACCTTTTCTTGTGTCCTGTGGGGTTCCTACATGGGGAAGGAAGGGGCAAGGCATTAAAAGGTTTCTGTGCAGAACCCTTGTCCTTCCATCTTGATTTTCTGGACGCACCTCATAAACAGCAGCATTGGGACCTTTTCTGTTTAGAACGATATAAATCTTTTCCTCCCAAAATGAACGCAACTTTCCAGGGCCTCCTCGTTCTATTACGTTTTTTACAAGTACTCGGTCCCCAGGCTTTAGGTCAGAGCTTCTTGCTTTTCTGTTATATTCCTCCCGACCATGTGCTGCACACTGTCCAGTTTTCTCTGCAGCAATACGGTAAGCATCTGTCATCGCATTCTTCCATTGCTTAAGGTATTCTGGATATCCTTTCACTGCTGTTACTTTAGTATTTCCGAAAATAATGTCAATAGGTAATCGTGGCTTTCTACCAAATAAAAGCTCAAAGGGTGAGAAACCTGTACTATCGTGACGTGTGCAATTGTATGCGAATGTCATTTTATTCACATGATCCTTCCAGCGTGCTTTCTTTTGTTCGCTCATTGATCTCAACATGGCTAAGATAGTTTGGTTGAATCTTTCACATTGCGCATTACCCATTGGGTGGTAGGGTGTGGTTCTTGAACGAGCAATTCCTGTCAACTGTTCCAAGTGGTGGAACAGATCATTTTCGAACTCTCGACCTTGATCGTGGTGGATTCGTTGAGGGAAACCAAATCGGAGTATAAAGTCATTAAATATTTTGTCAGCAGCAGTTTTCGCAGATTTGTTCGTGGTAGGGTAAGCTTGGGCATAACGGGTAAAATGATCCACAACAACTAAAAGATATTCATACCCCCCTGTACTTCTTTCTAAGTGAACAAAGTCAATTGATATAAGCTCAAACGGTTGACTTGTGACTATGCTTTGAGCAGGGGCACGTGGTGGTAGTGATGGCTTTTTCCGTTGTAAGCATCTACAAACTTTGGTTACGTAATGTTCGATGTCTCTCGTCATGTGCGGCCAATAGAAACGATCTCGTGCTAGCTCTGTCACCTTTCAGCACCCAAGTGTCCCATCTCATCATGAAGATGGCGGAGTACCAAAGAATGGTATCTTTTTGGCAAAACCAACTGCAACCTGTTGGCTGTCTTTCGGTACAAGGCTCTGTCTTTTCCCAGTATCAGCTTGTTCCATTCATGCATTAGTGTTTTTACCTCAGCTGATTCACCATGTCGATCTTGAAACGAAGGCCTAACTGGCTGTTCTTTATAAGCTAAGACACGGGCAACATCAGGGTCCTCCTTCTGCGCTTGTAAGATGTTCTGCAGAGGCAGGGGAGTGTGTTTTTCCATTTTGTTTGCATCTAATAGTTGGGTAGTATTTTGGTTAAGTGAAACTGCATGGATCCAATACACATTACCTTGATGCCTGGTGGTAACTGCACTGAGAGTTGCTGCAAAATCCATCTGTGATGTTTCTTGTGTGCATTCTTCCATGAACTTCTCAATGTTTGTTGGCATTCTTGAAAAGAAGTCTGCATCAACATTCGCTTTACCCGGTCGGTACTTGATGGTGAATTCAAAATCTGCCAATGAAGCTATCCATCTATACCCTGTAGAATTTAACTTTGCTGTACTCATAACATATGTTAAAGGGTTGTTATCAGTATATATTGTGAATTTTGGAGCGTAAAACAAGTAGTCGCGGAACTGTTCAGTTACAGCCCACTTTAATGCTAGGAACTTCAGTTTCCCGGAATGTAAATGGTACTTTCTTTCAGCTGGAGATCTGGCTATCACTCTCATTTTCCCCTGCTGTTTTTGGTACAAGACTGCACCAAGTCCCTCTTGTGATGCGTCTGTATGAAGTACAAATGGGATGCTGAAATCTGGATAGGCCATGATAGGAGGGTTGGTAAGACAGCTTATAAGATAACTGAGAGCTTTTTGATGCGGCTCTAGCCAGACAATTGGCGCACGCGATGATGCTTGGCCTCCTTTCCCACGTGTGTCTTTTTTCTTTACTTTGGAAGTGCATGGCTGTTCCACCTTGAGTAAGTCATAAATGGGTTTTGCTACTCTGGAAAAGTTTTCTATATATCGTCGGTAGTAACCCAGTAGACCTGTCAAATGACGAACTTCACCAATAGTCTTTGGTGTGTAGTCACGTAACTTGAGAATTGCTTTTGTGCTGTCTGGATCTATGCGATAACCATCTTCAGACACGATTCGACCTAAATATACAACTTCTTTCTTAAACATGTCACATTTTTCAGCTTTCAGCTTGATACCATTTTCTTTCAATCGTCGTAGAACCTTTCTTACATGCTCCACGTGCTCGTTGAATGACTTTGAGTATACAATGACGTCATCAAGATATGGTGCACAACATTCGTCTCTAAATTCCCCTAAACAGCTCTCCATATAACGTTGAAATTCTGCTGGAGCGTTTTTGAGGCCCATGGGAAGTCTTATCCATTCATAGAGACCCCAGGGTGTCACAAAAGCCGTTAAATGGCGACTTTCTGGGTCCATAAAGCCTTGATGATATGCTTTCCCTTGATCTATAGTGGAGAACCATTTGTTTCCGGATAAACTGTCCAACGTGTCCTGAATTCTGGGTATTGGATGACGGTCTGCTGTTGTTTTATCATTTAGTTCTCTGTAGTCAATACAGAGCCTCATTGAGCCATCTTTTTTTCGGACAATCACACAACAGCTACTATATGGCGATTTTGATTTCTGGATGAACTTGCGATTCAGGAGATCCTCGATGTATCTCTTGAGTTCAGGGTACAAGGGTCTTGGGACAGCAATGTAATGTTTCTGCACCGGTGTTGTATCATTTAGTATGATCTTATGTTTGAGGCCCTCTGCGCAACCTACATCTTGGCTACTTGTGCAAAAGGCATCACGTTCTTCATAAAGCATCTGCTGTACACTCCGTTTTTGCTCTTCACTCAAATGATTTCCTAAAGTAACTTTTGGTATCACGTCCGTTGCTAGCTTCTCATCAGCCTCTAATTGTCTTTGACTGGTCCTGTATTCTTTGTAGACTTGAGTTCTTTTGGATTTCCGTCTTTATCCATTTCATTGTGATCTTTGAACTTCAACTCAACTGGTGTAACTGACCTAACAGGTTGCAGAAAACCCATTTCTGTACGTCCTTTCAAAGTGATGTCATGTGCACTAGTGTTAATGACATAAATTCCCACCTTGTCGCAATTTTCCCTTTTCAAAGTGAGCAAAGACTCGTGTACTTCCAAACCAGAGGGGAAGCTTAACTCGTTATCGGGCTCAAACAGCATAGGTGTTGGTCGGCTAATTAATCCAACTTTGCTGCGACATGAAATCTTTACTGTACTGCCCTTTGGAACAATAATGCTTTTCTTGCCTGTTCTAACAGTGGAAAATATTGGTGTTGACTTGCTGTCAACAAAACTCACAAAAGCATTTAAATCTGATTGTGACGTCTGAAAGAAACTTGCTGATAGCAGCGAGATAAGGTTAGTCTCATCTGGGACTTGTTGTTGACTTTTGATAAGTTCTTCGATTACATTGTACCCAATAATAGGCTGCTCAAGTTCGAATTCAGTTACTAGCATTGGTACTTCTACTGCATCTACATTTGAATTCAGAAGCTTGAAATTCATCTTAACCCACCCACTGTATGGCAATTTTGAACCATTGGCTGTTGTTAGTTCTAACTCAATGTCCTGATCAAGGAGATCTGTGATATCTTTTATCTCTGACTGT